CAGGATTTCCCAGCGTTGTTTCCCCTAGTAAGTGGAGCAGGACGGAGAACCTGGCAAGGAAAATCTTAAGTTCGGATCGGACGAAAACTCGAAGCAGAATGCACACGTTGGCGTGCACGTAAAAACAAACCTGTTTGTGGTTGGAATTCGATGAAGAGAAGGCGGCGAAATTGTTATTTTTTGTTAGTAGGGGAGATAATAAAGTTTTCAACCCAGTAAAATTTCTTAACATAAACAATAATATATTTAAATCCCCGACTTACTAAATACTTTAAGATTATAATCTAAATACGGCGGTAATTATATATCTAACGATCAGAGTTAGTGTAATGTTTAATAATATTATTATTATAATCGTGAATTTTAAGTAAGGGAGATAATAAATTTCTCAGCCGCATGAAATTTCTTACAGCAAACAATACTATATTTATATCCCCGAATTACCAGATAATAAAATACGCTGGTAATTATCTCTCCAGAGATCAGAGTTAATGAAGTATAAAATGTTTAATAATATTGTGAGTATAATTGTAATGGGTGTTTTTAACTAAGGGAGATAATAAAGTTTCCAGCCCTATGGAATTTCTCACGGTAAACAATAGCATATTTATAGCCCCGTATTACTAAATATTGTAGTTCATAATGACAATACGGTAGTAATTATCTCTCTAAAGATCCGAGAGTCAATGAACTATAAAATGTTTAATAATATTATTATTAGGTTATTGACCTGAGATTATAACACCTCACTTGTTTATAAACTGTTATAGTAACAAAACAGGAGCGGATCAAGGAATTTTTACAGGGGGGTGGGAGTTGCCAGGTTCCCGTTAAGGAAATTACGTAAGCATACATATATACACACTGATATTTTTAAAGATAGAAACCCAACACCCCGTTTGACATCAATTTTTATAATGAATTAATAGGATCAACTTGTGATTCAATTTCATTGATACAAAGCATTAATTGTGATATCACATATTATGTCTATATCATTATCTCGCGCTTTGAATGTCCATCCCATCCCACCATCTGATGATAAAGGATAAAGCAGACAACCGTGACACTTTTCTCATAAAAGTGGTGTTTTAAAAATTGTTTATGGAGCAGAGAGGGATGGGGTTTGGGGGGGGGGGGGGTCCTCTGGTTTCGAACCAAAGCTCGTACCCGACAAGGAGTAGGGTCGCCTATACAACCTCGTGGGTTTTCTCTGGGTCTCCCGCTTGCCTCCCACTGCTAAAGACCCCTACGCGCAAGCGAATTAATGAAATAAAAATGTTAGTTTTGAAATGACCTAGTTTGTGTCGAATTAAACTCCAGTTCTCTCTCTCTCTCTCTCTCTCTCTCTCTCTCTCTGAGCTATTTGATTGGTTATAACTAAAATCACATGTTTCCTCTCTGGCGAGGATGAGAGCCATTCGATTATCACCATAGGATTATAACACATATTTTACTGGTTAAAGTAGATGTAATTATTAAAGTGATAAGATTGTATTAATTCTATCTATTTATATCTTATTAAAAGGTGACAATATTTCTAATTGTTTTAAATCTAGATAATCTTCAAGTGTTAATATCTATCTTGTATATTTATAAGGTACGTGCTAATTTTACCCTTGGGCTTTAAACTATCGCTAAAATATCAAACATCAAACAAACCAAACACAATCTATAGAAGTGAAATGGAAGACGATTATGCCCATATTTGTTAATGAATCAATCAGCATCTCGCACTTTTGGAAGATGAAATGAAATGGGGCGCAACGTCCTACTTTTCTGCTTCATCCAGCTAGCCAATGAAGACGGGCTTACGCCACACGGTGTATTATAAGGGAAAATTTGCCCGGACAGCAACGGCCCTTTTATATCGAATTTTAACTGTCAAAGATCTTTTACGTGCACGCCAATGGTTCAACTACAAAGTTAGGTTCAGAATTACGCCATATATCAATGTATCATAAGACTGAAAAAACGTCCATTTTTAGATTTACGAATGATGCTAGTTTGAAAACCGAATTTCATCAAGTTTCTTATAACCGTAAATCTCTTTGATCTTGCGGTCTGAAAGTCAGGGGTGGCTTTGAATAGAACAGGGGAATTTGGGGTTATTCTTCTGAAAGTTTTTCTTTAAAACTGTAACAGGTTATTCTTCCAGGGTAGGGTTTATTTTCCATACGAAAACATAAGGTTTTTCTTACTGGAATTCTGGAATATTCTCATTTAAATATGGACAGCCTCGGTTTTTCTTTTTCTCTGGTTATTTTCTTCTGTCTTTCTTTTCCCAGCATAACCTCAGTCACGTGCTTTATCCTACACATAAAGATTCTTGGTTTAGAATCCCGGCTTCTGTTTATAAAAGATATATGTCTTGTCTGGGTTTACAATACAGGCTTCTTTTTATTAAGGGGTAAGTTTCAATTGGGTGTAGTGTTATGGTGGCGGTTGCTTGGGTTTGGAATCCAGGATTCTGTCTATTAAAGGGTTAAGTTTGAATTGAGGGTAATGTTTCGGTGGGGGTTGCTTGGTGATGGTAAATACAAGCAAACCAATCAACCTAGGCCTAGTGGTCTAGAGTGTCGCGCTTCGAGCTCTAGCTTTCCTCTAACCTCTGTCTTGCGTGTGTGGTTTGGAGATGAGGTGGCGCCTTCTCAACCTCGTGTGTTACTAAGGATACTCCGGTTTCCTCTCACAGGAAAGATCCCTACGCGTGCGCTAAGATAATAAAAGATAAGACAACTTGTCTGCGATATCACACCAAGAACAACGACAAAAACCAAAACAGACAGAAAGTTTCCGTGCATGTCTTGTCGCAATATAGCACGGTTGGTTCATCATTTCATTTCCGTGTCCGGTGCTAATGTATAAGTTATAACCCATTCTTAAACTAATCTGTCTCATACACCCGTTGATTTTGGTGTAACATTAAAACCGATAAGTTCTGGCCATATATCGTAATTTTAACCGTTCCTGCATGGGTATAGTCATCAAACTTACATTATACCTGAACGATATAAGGGCAGGTAACTCGTGGTCTCAACGATATAAGGGGAGGTAACTCATGGCCTGGTTCCATTCCATTACAATATTGCATACAAAAACACACGACATGAAATGGGGTTTAACATCCTACTGTTCTGCTCCGCCAGAACTATTGAAGATGGACATACGCCATAAAGTGTGCTATGAGGGAAATGAAATGAAATGAAATGAAATGGGGTTTAACGTCCTACTGTTCTGCTCCTAACCTGGGCTAATGAAGACGGGCATACGCCATACAGTGTGCTATGAGGGAAATTTTGCCCGGACAGCGGCACTACGGCCTACTCTTATATCGAATTCCAACTGCCAAGGGATCTTTTACGTGCACGCCAATGTGTACACGGGACCTCGGTATTTCGTCCCATCCGAACGACTAGACAGCTTTCCTTGTCAGCGTGCTATGAGGGAAATCTTGCCTGGGTAGCTGAACTATTGCCTATTCTTATATCGAATTCCAACTGCCAAGGGATCTTTTACGTGCACGTCAATGTGTACACGGGACCCGACTATTTCGTCCTATCCGAACGACTAGACAGCTGTCATTGTCAGGTCCTCCGTCCTGCACCAAAGACAAGGGGAAACCATGCCGGAAAAAATCGGAAATAACACAAGTCAAGTGACAACAAAATTCTTCCCTGGTAAAAAAAAAAAACTTCGTTTATCTCACAGGATAATAGCACATATTTTACTGGTTAAAGTAGATGTAATTATTGGCCGTTACCCCCCCCCCCTCTCTCTATTAATTCTATCTATTTATATCTTATTAATAGGTGAAAAGATTTCTAATTGTTTTAAATCAAGATAATCTTTAAGTGTTAATATCTATCTTGTATCTTAAGAGTCTCGCGCCAATACTACCCTAGGCGCTGACCAAATCGCTAAAATTACCCGACATAAAAAATACCGAAAAAAGACTTTATCTTTCAGGAGTTAAGAACGTAGTCCATTTTGTACATACAATACTAAAGGAGAAGGTCTGTAATATTAAGTACCACAATATGTAATTACACAGCTAATGTCTTTGCTTCAAGTCAAGGCCCCCTTTATTAAATCAAGAACGTGATAATATCTTCTTTGTTTTACAATGTTAACCCAGGAGTGGGCCTTTAAGATATGAAGTACCCGATAAGATAGAAGGAAGATCAAAGTTCGGCTCTAATTAGGAACCTCAGAATTATTTACACACCCATCGGCGTTTAATCTATCTTTTTTAAAAGAAATAGAAATAGAAAGCGTGCCTTTTGTTGGGGTGGGAGCCATAGTGACTAAGTGGGTAGGACGCTGGCTCACTAGCCTGGAGGTCGGGTGTTCGATCCCTGCATTGACCGAGAAAGTTCATCAGGATTTACCCGCGTGGTTTCCCCTTGTCAGTGGTGCAGGAAGGAGGGCCGGGCAAGAACAGCTGTCTAATCGTTCGGATGGGATGAAAAAACGCGTCCCAGGGTATATACATTGGAGTGCATGTAAAAGACCCCTTGGCAGTTGGAATTCGATATAAGTGTAGGCCATAGTACCGCCGCCTGGGAAAAATTTCCATCATATTATAGCACACTATATGGCGTATGTTCGTCTTCATTAGCCCAGTCGGAGCACAACAGTAGGCCGTTAAACCTCATTTCATTTTGTTGGGGTAATCCAAACATCTATACTATCACCAATTTCATTTATAATACTAAAACAAAAATATACAAATTTCAGGTCTACGGACAGGGATATCACCTAAACCATCTGTGTCAAGGCTGTGTCTAAAATGTCCAAAAATAAGTTAATTAGACAACGCCCATTTGTGCTAAAGAAAAAAGGATAGGTGATATCCAAATTCCAAGTCTACGGACAGGGTTACCGCCTAAACCACTTGCCTGGGACAAGATTATGTCTATGGGCAAGTACATAAGACAACCCGATTTGTGCCAAAGAAAGAAAAAGGTGTGATGTCTATTTTATTTATTCTTTCAGTATAATAATATATTGATATACAAGTCAAACAATGTTCAATCTATGTTTTGTTTATTGTGTTCAAATGGTAATTGATTTATTTCCAGATTTTTTCACAAATATAAATGTATGTCATGCGCGTAGGGGTCTTTTAGCAGTGGGAAGAAACCGGAAGACCTGGAGAAAACCCACGAGATTGGAATAGCGAATTGAATACTATTACTCATATTATTGTTGACGTCATGTGCTCTCTTTCTCTCTATGATCAATGTCAATTTAAAATACAAAAAAAAAACAAAAAACCCACGCGGTTACATTTACAGTGAAGCTATTTTCTGACAACATATGCTTCGTGTTTCTTGTTTCAATTAGGGGATGGGGTCGGAATCTAGTTTTAAAAAATAAACTGACTGTAAATGGTGATTCCTAGAATCTATCCTGATGTTTCTAGCTTATGACAATCTTATCAATTCAGCAAAACCAACGTAAATTCAAGACTAAAATGGCCGGGCACGTGATTGTTGACGAGTTTGTAGGTAAGGGCTAGGTCCAGGGTTAGGGTTAGGGTTGGGATTAGCGCTAGCCCTGTTTACATCCCGTGACCTTAGACCAAACTTGACGTTGGCCTTATGAAATGGATCTAATCATCGAAGTACCAATTTTGCACATGGAGACAACTAGCAATTATTCGCCCATTGACATCAATGTTAAATGGCTGCAAAATCACAGACTAGCTTTTTGCTCAACATTCCGTTGGTTCCAATCTTTATAGGCACATAGGGGACCGCATTTGCCAATACCCTCATCATATTTTTGTAGGGGGTTGACGTTTAGATTTTTTTTGCTGCGGGGATTTGATGTTGATGTTCCGACACAATAATTGCTCTGCAGAAAGACACTTTACATCCCCTAACTCTCCGCTGTGATATCATCAGTATTACCCAAAACTGCTATGAAATCGCAAATTTGATTCCTTTTCTCCAATCCTAGACCAAAACGTCCACCCAAAAATGCAGGAAAAGGGGAGAAAAAAAATTAAGGGAAAAACTGTTTATTTCTAACTCGCGCTATATCATGAAATAAGGGGAGATAATTACTAGTCTTAGTCCTATAATACGTTCGGCCAATAGATCGCACTGGTTCAGGTCGAGAATCAAAATCTAAGACAAGAGATTCCCCAAAAACTATTATAATAATTAAACATACATTATGCAAGAGCTAAATCTGTCTATTGCAGGTCTTTCTTTAGGCCTAAAATGTTATCCAAACTATTAATTAGACATTAATTAACTTATCCATACTCGTGATGACATCGCTAGACTGCGACGTTTATTGTATTAGGCTCCGATTTGCTGTTTTATCCTACCGACTTCAGTAATGATGATCGAGGCTAGGCCGAAAATCCAATCGCTAAAATCTCGGTTCATAGTGAATCAATTTGACTGAAATTTTCAGCAAATTGCCTTTACAGTATCTAGTTTTTAACTATGATAGTAAGAACTGCCAGCTCTTTATCTAATCTCCCATAATGTATCTTTAATAACGTATCGTCTAAAACACAACTGTCAAGACAATGCAATAATATCACTTGTTATTCCGTACATTTTGTTTGAAGTCTCTGCGTTTCCTGTCCATATATGTCTTCCAAACGCTCTGCCAAGCCTTTCACGACCGCCAAATCTGATCGGAAAAATCCGTGGAAAGGTGAGTCCATGTCTGCCACTATGTAGCACAACATGGAGATAGAGACAACCGTTATAATGCACATTGATAATTCCATACGATAAGACTCGCCTTTCACCAATAATATCCCCAAAAATGTGAAATAGCCCAATGTCTCCAAGAACGCCCACCTGAAAATAAAAAAAAGTAAAATTAATCAAGAATTTAATGATGTAGAGAGAGACAGATACTAGGTCATTTCGGGAATAACACATAGTTCAGTTTTATTTCAATAATTCGCATGCGCGTAGGGGTCTTTAGCAGTGGGAGACAAACGGAGCACCCGGAGAAAAACCTCGAGGTTGGACAGGCGACCCGACCCCACTCCTTGTCACGTACAACCGGGAATTCGAAACCACGCCGGTTGTATGTGACAAGGAGTGGAGTTGGGTCGCCTGTCCAACCTCGTGGGTTTTCTCCGGGTCCTCTGGTTTCTTCCCACTGCTAAATAATTATTGAAATAAAATTGAACCATATGTAAGTCCCGAAATGTCCTAATTATGTCGAGTTGACATTAAACCCCGGTTTCCTACCACTGCTAAAGACCCCTTGTTAATCCAGAAATGACCTAGTTTGTGTCAAATGGACGTTACCCCCCCCCCCCCCTCCCCCTCTCTCCCTCTCAATGTATTCAAAATGACTGTAGTGCTTGCATTCAGCTGGATTTTCCGACGTGGTTTCCCTTTGTCAGTGGTGCAGAATGCGGGACTTGACAAGGACAGCTATCTAGTCGTTCGGATGGGACGATAAATGTATACATTGGCATACACGTAAAATATCCCTTGGCAGTTGGAATTCGATATAAGAGTAGGCCGTAGTACCGATGTTCGGTCACAATTTCCCTCATAGCACACTGTATGGCGTATGTCCGTCTTCAATAGCCCAGTTGGAGCAGAACAGTAGGACGTTATCCCCCATTTTATTTCTGTAGTGCTTGCGAGAGTGTACTTAATTGAGTTTGTGTGTTCATACCCACAGAACTCTTATCCAGACAATGGTAAATTATATTAATATTCCAAAAATACGATATGATGTTAATACATGCAATACAAATCAATATGCCTACTATAGAAACATAGTCACTATCATTCAGTCAGTCAATAATTAATTATTGTTGTACATTTTAGTAACGGTTTTTCTATTTAAAGTACAATTAACTGAATGCAACGCGTTCAATTCTATGGAAACATTGTAATAACATAAAAAATGTTTTATGATATAGATCAGTCAGAATCAATAATATCAATAATTGTTGTACATATAAAAAGGTGCATTATGTAGGAGCTAAATCTTGTCTGGTTTCAAATTTTAATGTTATATAAATCATACAAAGCGATGCATTATGAAAGAGCTAAATCTGGATATTGCAGGTCTTTTGCCTCGCTTCAAATGTTACATAAGTTATATAAAAGAATGTATTATGAAAGAGCTAAATCTGGCTATTGCAGGTCTTTTTTTCTGGCTTCAAATGCTTTATAGATTATTTTTCATACATTTCTTCACGTATGCTAACCCTATAATCAACTCTCTATAGACCCCCGGGTGGATTGATATTGAATGGAATAGAACACACGCGACATTTAATAATTTCAAGTTAAAATGAATAATCGAGACTTTCCTTATTATCGTAGCAATGGAGACTTTCTTGTCAAAACTTCAAACACTCATACATCGCCCAGTAATTTGAAATTTTCAATACATTAATTTTCATTATCAATTTTGAACCATTATAGCAAGGACAAGATTAATATGCGTTTGTAAGCAGTTTCTGGTAACAATTAAAACAGCATGATCGCGATGGGAGAATTTAAACCAAACAAGATACAATCGGGACGGGAGAATTTAACCTAACAAGATGAGATCGGAATGGGAGAATTTAAACCAAACAAAATACAACCGAAAAAAAAATAAACCAAACAAGATAAGATCGGGGAGGGAGAATTTAAACCAAACAAGATAAGATCGGGACGGGAGAATTTAAACCAAACAAGATAAGATCGGGACGGAAGAATTTAAACCAAACAAGATAAGATTGGGATGGGACAATTTAAACTCAACAAAATACAACCGGGACGGGATAATTTAAACCGAACAAGATAAGAATGATACGGGAGGAAATAAACCAAACAAGATAAGATCGGGACGGGAGAATTTAAACCAAACAAGATAAGATCGGAACGGGAGAATTTAAACCAAACACGATAAGATCGGGACGGGAGAATTTAAACCAAACAAGATAAGATCGGGACGGGAGAATTTAAACCAAACAAGATAAGATCGGGACGGGAGAATTTAAACCAAACAAGATAAGATCGGGACGGGAGAATTTAAACCAAACACGATAAGATCGGGACGGGAGAATTTAAACCAAACAACATAAGATCGGGATGGGAAAATTTAAACCAAACAACATAAGATCGGGATGGGAAAATTTAAACCAAACACGATAAGATCGGGACGGGAGAATTTAAACCAAACACGATAAGATCGGGACGGGAGAATTTAAACCAAACAACATAAGATCGGGATGGGAAAATTTAAACCAAACAAATTAAGATCGGGATGGGAGAATTTAAACTAAACAAAATACAACCGAAAAAAAAACCAAACAAGATAAGATCGGGACGGGAGAATTTAAACCAAACAAGATAAGATGACAAGAATACTTACTGTAGAAGATTTATTCGTTGCTTACTTGGAGCTTTAGAACCCACGGTATATGGTGCATCTGTGACTATCCGGACTATGGCCTTTCTAACACTTGTATTAAATACTGGAGACCAACCAGTGGGATCATCACTTATAAGACGAATAACATCCATCAAATCTACAAAATTTTAAAAAACTGAAATTTATACAAAATTGACAAAAATTGAAATTGATACAAAATTAACAAAAATGAAATTTATACATTAACAAAAATGAAATTTATACATTAACAAAAATGAAATTTATACAAAATTAACACCGTCTTCATTAGCCCAGTTGGAGCAGAACACTAGTACATAAAAACCCATTTCATTTCATTTCATTTCACAAAATGAAACTTGTACAAAAATTAACAAAAATTAAAATTTATACAAAATTAACATAAACCCATTTCATTTCACAAAATTAAACTTATACAAAAATTAACAAAAATTAAAATTTGTACAAAATTAACAAAATTGAAATTCATACAAAATTAACAAAATTGAAATTTATACAAAATTTGGAAAAAAAATTGAAATCCATACAAAATTTTAAGAAAAATTGAATTTTATACAAAAAATTATACAAAATTAACCAAATTGAATTTAATACAAAAAATTATACAAAATTTAACAAATTGAATTTTATACAAAATTTAAAAAAATGAAATCTATACAAAATTAAACATTAAACCCCATTTCATTAACAAAATGAAATTTAGACAAAATTAAAAAAATGAAATTTAGACAAAATTAAAAAATGAAATTTAGACAAAATTAAAAAATGAAATTTAGACAAAATTAAAAAATGAAATTTAGACAAAATAGTAATGTATATAAGTAGAAACAATGATAGCCGCTAAGTCAAGATCTGGGATGACTGAAAATAACCCAAGATATTCTAGGCATCGATGTTCCTGGGGCCGAAAAAAAGAGAAATCTAAAAGCAAGTTTCATGATTTTTGTGAATAATTTATAGGAATGAAATTAAATGCTATGATAATTTATATGAATGAAATTAAATGCTATGTCTCAACGAACGGCGAATATGGACTATCCGATACAACGTCTAGAACGGAAGTTCTCAAAAATCTAGATCTATATTAGAAATGTCTGTTGATAACGGGATAGGGAGAAATGGGAATTATCGTACACTCAACACAATCTGGGTCATTTCGGCACTAACATATGGTTCATTTTTATTTCACTAAATTGCTTGCGCGTAGGGATCTTTAGCAGTGGGAGGAAACCGGAGGACTAGGAGAAAACCTACAAGGTTGGACAGGCGACCCTACTCCTTGTCACGTACAACCGTGGAATCAAAACCACGCCAGTTGACTCGATGACAGAGCTTATGACACAACGTGTGCACGCTAACCATTCAACCTGTTGATAAAGAACGTTTGATTGATATAAAGATCCATGTCTATACGTACCAGGTAGATGAGTTGGTATGTCCTTGTCTTGTATGTACAGAATGAACTTCACCATCTCATTCTTTACCAACTGATAAATGTCCAGCTTGGTTGTAGAACACGATAATGTCATCTTGGAGACCATGGTTAGCAAGCGATGCATGTCATCCACCTGTTGATTGATGTACAGATCAGTCGCCTGCTGCTTGGACATCACCTGCTGGAACGCAAATCCAAATGAAATGGCGTACACCATCCCCGCCGGTACCAGAAAGCATGCGATCCCATCATTGGTGTTAGGAATAGGCTGGAACAACTCTTCAGGCCAAAATAGATTTAGAATAGGAATGTGCAGGAACAGGGTCAGTGGGCAAAAGGCAAGTGATAAAAAACATGGCAGAGCTATCAAGAACAATTCTTTGGGTTGGTTGACAAACAGATCCAAAGATTCCAAAACATTCTGATCAAATTGGGAAAGAAATGGCCATGGTCCTGTACCGTTGTTTAGTTTTGTTTTAATTGTTGCAGTATCCAAGTGCGCTACGGCACTATGCCCGGTTACATTCGGTACTTTTCGACAGCAGGAACTTTTCTTTGTCACACAGACCAAAAGGATCAAACCTGTAATAAAAAGTCATTGATAATAATATAACTTCCTTGTCCGAGATGAGAAAAAGTTGGGAACCAATCGCTTTGGGCACAATCTAATTAAATCACAGATCCTATTTCGTTTCGTTTTTTATAGTTCAAAATTTCGTTTTATTTGTCTTTAATACACTAGGATCTGGAAGAGTTGTTATATTATAACCTGCGTTCTGGTTGGCGCGATGGATTAGTCAATGAAACCATCTGTTACGGTGTATTCTTTGCGTGCGATCCACAGAACTGTGGGTAAACCAGGAGAAACGTCAACGCTGATTTGTTAATCAATGTCTGACGTCATAGAGTCACGACCTCTGACGCGACCTTTTACTACAACCGGTAAGATCTGTATGTAGTGTAGGCCATGGAAAGTATATAAAAAAAGAAATGAAATATAGATCTGTATTTTAATCAGATTGTTGTCCGACATGGGGGAGTCACGGCGGCTAAGTGGGTAAGACGCTGGTTAGCTAGCCTGGAGGTCGCGTGTTCGATCCCTGCATTGGCAGAGAAAGTTCATTGCGATTTTCCGGCGAGTTTTCCCCTTGTCAGTGATGCAGGACGGAGAGCCTGAAAGGGACAGCTGTCTAGTCGTTCGGCTGGGACGTAAAACCGAGGACCCGTGAAAATATTGCACCTTCTTAAGTGCTATTTCCAGCACTTTCCAGTATTTAAAAAAAAAACACCACAGAACTGACTGCATCATACAATATCATGATAACGGTAATATCAAATATGGGCCAGGGACTGATGTCTTTTAATAAGACAAGAAAACATGGATGCTACACGACTGTTAACAAAGTAATAAATATCTATAACAAAATATCAACAAAAACAAACAAGAAAGCAACTAATTATAACTGACTAATTCAGAAACCCTTTACATATCTTTAAAATACGGCTTTCGTCTATCGCACGTCATTTAACGTTGGATTTACCAGACTTCTTTTTCTACGTGCCAAATTAAACGAAAAAATATGTACTGGATAACGTAAAATGCCCATTGTGACGACATAATGACATGACGTCATAGCTATAACCAAACTCTGGAAATAAGCTGTGTATTACGACTATTATTACGAAAAACTTCAAATTTAACCTGATTTAACCTAGAAAACAGTGATTATATTCTCAGGTGAGTTAAAAATATTACTATTCATCAAATTTACAACATATTTTACAATTAGAGCGAAATACTTACAATAAAAATAGATTAAAACCCGATTCAAAATATCCCTACTCCATGTTGAAATATGCCTATTGCAAGTTATAACTATTTATTGTATGTTTTACAGTAAATACTAGATACAATAACATCAACCATGAGAAAATCTATAAGAGAAGAGGTTATGTCTCAGCGTAAAGGTAATTATCATTTCATTCCTTCATAAATTAAATACAGGGATAGGAAATTAGTCGCCGTTTACATTCTCAACAAATTACTACCTATAACTATTTGTGCATAAAGTAGCAAATTTTTATATTGTCAATTTACGGTTTATGACATTTTATATTCTGTCAAAATTAATTGAAAACAACCGAAGAAAAAATATGTATGTATAATCCAGTTATATCTAATGAATTCAATATAGATCTAATCATGCTATTTAATTATTTCTTAAAATAAATATATCAAATATTTATTTCTTGTTACAGCATACGAAATGTCAGAGCTTCTTATTGACGTTGTCTTTGAAGTACTCGATGAAAAAGACAAACTGCAATCATTATTAGACGAAATGGAGAGTTATAACAGCCAAATTCAGACTGAAGTCTCCAAAAGCGACTGTAAGGTTGAAATGAAGGATGCATCTGTAAAAACAAGTTCGGATATAGAACTAGAAAAAGAAAAGAGTGAAGCGATTTCCAAAATGATGGATGAATTAGAAGATGCACTAGAAAGACGGAAAGAACCATTATTAGCTGAAACAGAGAGTTACAATATTCTAACTCAGACTGAAGTCTTCAAAGTGGACTGTAAGGTTGAAATGAAGGCTGATTCTGTAAAGACAAGTTCCTGTGTAGAAAAAGAAACTGAAAAGGACGATGAGATTTCCAAAATGATCGATGACTTAGAAAAAGAACTAGAAAGACGACAAGAACCAGAACTTGACAAAAATGCTGAAAAATTCACGACAGATGAGTTGTTTGAAAATTTAAACATGACGAAGGAAACAGATGGAGTTTATTGTAGTTTATTTGGTGGATCTGATGATGTCGACTATAGACCTATTATTATTAAAAATCGTCAAACAGAAACATATAATTATCATTTAAACCAAGATCCATTAATGGAATTTTATAATTTATTTAATTATAACCATAGTAAATCTGTTGTGGAAATCAACCATATATCTAAAAATAGTACAGAATATGGAAAAGATATTGATGATGATGTGAATAATTTTGTTAGCGACAAACAAGACAGCACTTTAAATGGTAAGTAAAACGCCCAAGTAAGATGTCATCAAATTATAGTCCTACATGACATACTGTTTAACAAATTTACAAGGACCACGAACCAGGCCAAATATAAGACACTGCTACACATTTAAACAAAATATTGGTGCAGGTGTGTCGTATTGTTAATTAGATTTTATTTGAGTTTCTGTAAATTTTACAACGCCTTTTTTTTGCCACTGTAATATTTTCAAATATACTTATTTTTATTCACTGAACATGATGCTAAAAAAATGAGTTTTAATGAAATATCGTTTTTTGGGGGGTGGGATGGGGATACTGTATGTTATCCTTGGCTCGACTTTGCGGCATATTTAACGATATTTTTGACCCCTTGTAATATAATTTCTATAAATATACAAAAAGAAAAGCCCAAGAAGATCGTTGAAAGAAAGATTTATGGCATTTTTCTGCTGTGGAAAAACAAACGAATAGATGAATATTAATATAATGTTTTACTTTAAAACATTATACAAAAAAAAACGACTGATTGTCTTCTTTCATAAACAACTGGTTGCCTCAATTCATTCACTCATTCATTCATTCATATCATTCATTCATTCATTCATTCATTCATTCATTTCAATTCATTCATTTCAATTCATTCATTCATTTCAATTTATTTCAATTTATTCATTTTTGTATTAAATAATAATTAAAGATGCATTATGTAACAATTATATGAAAAATAAGGGTTCTTCTTGCTATAATAATTCAAAAATAGATATTGAAAATTTCGGTCATATTACTACTACTACTACTACTACTTTATTCGGTGTTATGAAGTTATGAGTGTTTGAAGTTATGACAAAATGTAGCGTAGATTGTTTATTATCGTAACATCGCTACTTGACTCTCGATTATCTATTTTATCGTTAAACTAATTATGGCCGTGGTGTTCTAATCTACTTAAATTAAAATCAAAACCATCCCATGATTTAGAGAATTAATTATGGGCTTGTCATGTTAATAAATGTTTAAATAATAATTTTGAAACATTGGAAGCCAAAGAAAAGACCTGCAATAGGAAGATTTAGCTCTTACATAATGCATCTTTAACTGATAAATTAAAATAACCCTTTAGTGATATTTATCGATTGGAAACGTTACAGAACTGACACGGTTATATAGGACAACAATCACTGGCTTATTATATACAAGCACGACGTTTCGATAAGTATTCTCTTATCGTTATCAATCACAAGGATGTCATTGTGCTTGATAACGATAAGGAAGTACTTATCGAAACGTCGTGCATGTGTATAATAAACCAGTCATTGTTTTCCCATATAACTCTGTCAGTTCTAATAAATTAAAATTGTTGCTTTATGAATCAAGTACAATATAATAAACTGACTGTTTATACGACATCCGTCCATCTTTTCTTCTGTTGAAGTATTTCATTTTCTAAACATGCTGGTAATTTAGCTTTAAATAATCGAAAATTAATTAAACGAACCCTAATGTAGAATTTCCATTAAATAAATTCTCTTTACATCCACAGCATATATATTTTAATTGAACATTGCTTTGATCTTATTTTATAATATTTTTTGTCTCATGGATACTGTATTTATATATTATTTAAAGTCTGGTTAATTTAACAGACCAATGTGGAATAAAAATAAGTTTAATTTAACAGACAAATGTAGAATAAAAGTAAGTTTAGAAAATGTTTTTATTTGTTTGTTAAAAATGTAATTATTATTGACGGTGGAGACAGAGTTAGTATAGTGGTGGGATGGGATTGTTAGAATATTATCACAGGAATTAATGTAAAACATCCCATGGAAGTATGAATTCGATATAAGAGTAGGCCCTAGCGCCGCTTTCCGGGTAAACCCACGAGATTGGACAGGCGATCCCACTCCTTGTCACGTACATCCGGGGAATCGAAACCACGCCAGCTGACTCAATGACAGACTTTATGATACAGCGCGCACACGCTAACCATTTAGCCATCCAACCCACCAACCGCGGATGAAAATGCAAAATAAAAAGGTACTTACCTATTATTGCTGCTACTAAACAGAGACATGGCGGAACAACAATCTCGTAGACGTTTGGTTTAAAATTTTCCCGGGTTAATGTTCCGTTATTCATGATTTTCCTTAAAGTTTCTGAATAACGAGTGTCATTGCCAATAATAACCGCGAGGTCTTTAACGGGCACAAACATTAACACCGCGCATAGATTTATATCAAATCCTTGCAAGAAACAATACTTTCATCAAAACGATGCAAGGAGCAATACTTTCATCAAACCGTGGCAAGGAGCAATACTTTCATCAAAACGTCGCAAGGAGCAATACTTTCATCAAACTGTTGCAAGGAACAATACTTTCATCAAAACGATGCAAGGAACCACCGTTTCTGTCAATCAAATCCTACTGTATTTAGTTAAACACAGACTCGCTGTCATTCAAAGTCGTTACTGAAAGAAAAAGCAAAGTGGAAAATAAAAATCGAATCGATTGGAAATGCTATTGATGCTTGGTTGATATCTATGGTGGCTGATTGATATCATGTCGTGACAACTCGACATCACGACATTTTAACGCGACACCACGACAACCCGACATCACGAAATTTTAATCCGACAATACGACATTTTTACGGTTTCCTCCCACTGCTAAAGACCCCTACGCGCAAGCGAATTATGTAAATAAAATTAAACCATATGTTAGTCCCGAAATGACCTAGTTTGTGTCGAGTGGACGTTAAACCCCATTTCTCTCTCTCTCCTTTTAAAGGGGGGTGGGGTGGGGGGGCTGAAAGGTTAGCACGTGCGCGCTGTATCATAAGGTCTGTCATTGAGTCAACTGGCGTGGTTTCGATTTCCCGGCTGTACGTGACAAGGAGTAGGGTCGCCTGTCCAACCTCGTGGGTTTTCTCCGGGGCCTCCGGTTTCCTCCCACTGCTAAATCCCCTACGCTCAAGCGATTTACGGAAATAAAATTGAACCATATGTTAGTCCCGAAATGACCTAGTTTGTGTCGAGTGAACGTTAAACCCCCTCTCTCTCTCTCTCTCTCTCTCTCTCTCTTTCTCGTGTTAGCTCCCGTGTTCTATACCGACAAATTGGACCGGATTTTCAGGCGTGCTTCCCCTTTTATCAGTAGTGTGGGACTGAGGACCTGGCAACTTCTAATTTTATGGAACCAAACTGCTGATTATAAGAGACAGCCGATTTTAAGAAAATTAAGTTATAGCCAATCGGATGCTTCGTGTAGTAATACCGGACTTCATTGTGTTCTCTTAGTGATCGTAAATATAACTACAGGTTAGGTCGTTTATACAACATTATTATTAAAACCGCTTGGCATCACCCCCCCCCCCCTCTAATTTCTTTACGTCATAGACTGCCCTTGGTGTTAATGGAACCAAACTGTTGGTAGTAAGAGACAGTCGATTTAAGAGAATTACCAGTAAGACAATCGGGTGTTTCCTTTGCAATCTGATTAAAACACAGATCCTATTTCGTTTCGTTTTTTATAGTTCAAAATTTCGTTTTACTTACACAGATTGGACATCAATTGAATCTGATAATCCGGATATTGCCAGCAGAGACAACTATGACGTATGCATCACAAAAGCAAATATACATAATCAAAAACAAAATTACCGTCCTGTGAAAGTCGGTAGAATAGAAAAATAACGTTCAATAATATTTACCCAGGCATCAGTACATTACTCTCTCCTTTAATACATAAAACAAGAACCAATATATTCCAGTATCTATGAATGGTAGCAAATATGTAATATCAGTGTGAATTATTGATGGAGTAGTAATTTAAAGTACCACAATGTAAACGTTTTAGTACGGTACTAAGTACATCAACATTCAACGATAAAACACCCTTTCAAATAAATGATTGGATTCGATTCCCAATGGACAGAATACCTGTTTACACGACAGTAAATAACATGATGTATGGTTTATAGAGTATACAGCATGTGGCGAAGTTAAGGAGAGAGGGCCAGAGCACCTAATACGCATTTTACAAAAGTAGCGGGGTTTCGATAATTTTTCGGGACCAGCAACTAGTTGTTCTTGGAGCGAAAGGCTCCACCAATTCTTGTGCGATCGACATGGGGGGTTGGATGGCTGACTGGTTAGCGTGCGCGCGCTGTATCATAAAGTCTGTCATTGAGTCGACTGGCGTGGTTTTGAATCACCGGTTGTACGTGATAAGGAGTAGGGTCGCCTGTCCAACTTCGTGGGTTTTCTCCGGGTCCTCCGGTTTCCTCCCACTGCTAAAGACACCTACGCGCAAGCGAATTATTGAAATAAAATTAAACCATATGTTAGTCCCGAAATGACCTAGTTTGTGTCGAGTGGACGTTAAACTCCATTTCTCTCTCTCTGTTCTCACGATCGACATGAAACCTGGCATGGTTATTCCTTGGACAACTGCGCATAGATGTTGGTATGACGTCACAATTCCAAGATTGCTGAGATGACGTCATACTTAGTTCTTTATCCATGGTACTGTACGACCTTCCTGAAATCAATAAATTATGCGCCCCCCCCCCCCCCACACCCCATAACTTCAGATGCTGGCTACGACTCTGGTTGACTTATATGATTATTAATAATCATCGATTAATCGTTATCAATATAATAGCCTGATGAGAATACAGTGTTATTGAATAGGCGTTAATTATTTAGTCGATCTGAAATCAATGTCCTCTGTAAACTTCAAAGGGGAGATTCGATTCATGGACAAAACTAGTATGTGTATACAACTGCAATTCAATAAAATATATTGGTGATTTTGTATGAAATTATTAGAACATAACGACGAAGTTTAATTGGGTTTAATTAACAGATGATTAATATCTATCGATTAATTGTTATTAAGTTAATAATGAGTATTGTTTAATGGTCGAGAGCGAGACATTAAGTAATATATTGTATATATATACAAAATAGAATAAAAAATGACATATTAAATATGATGACCCTGACCTCTACTATCAACTAATATAAAAAAATCGGATCTTGAAGTATAACTTCCGGTTTTAATAAGACAGTGTTGAATATGGGAGGTTTTCGCCACTTCGGCACTTGGTATTTGGTATTAATATATTCGATACTGCACGGTGTATCTTGATGGTAGCCGTGATATGGCATTTTCCATTCATCGTATTTTTACCATTAAATTGTCAAGTAGGCCAGTGTCCGCGCACATTTGTATATACATCTCTTTGATATTGTTCTATGAAAAGAGTAGCTGCTTTCAAATGTCAATATTATTGTCTCCGTAAATGTACTTATCATGTTTTGTCACCGACGTGGACGTGTTGAATTTCCCCGCCAATCTGTTTCACAGAGGACTAATAACTGTCAATCATTGGCTTAATGGTGCCTACATTGTTTACAAGTCAGTCAATACACTGTGGTGACAAATTATACAAGAGAGAGAGAAATGGGGTTTAACGTCCACTCGACACAAACTAGGTCTTTTGGGACAAACATATGGTTTAATTTTATTACAATAATTCGCTTGCGCGTAGGGGTCTTTAGCAGTGGGAGGAAACCGGAGGATCCGGAGAAAACCCACGAGGTTGGACAGGCGACCCTACTCCTTGTCACGTGCAACCGGGGCAAATTATACAAATATTCAGTATAAAGTTCTACACTGAAAATCATGTTTACAGTAATTTGAGCAAATTTATTTGTTATTTTTCTTTTTTTGTTTAAACTGACGGGTTCTGAATTTTAAAATTCCGACCTTTTATTGTTGATGGAAGGGATGATTTCGTAGAAAATAGGAATTTCGAACATGATAATTCGCTCCCGGTCTTGGCCCAGCAAGTTCATCGGAATTTTCCGGCGTGGTTCTCTCTTGTCAGTGGTGCAGGACGGAGGGCCTGACAAGGGACTACGTAGTCGTTTAAATGGGACGAGTACACCGGAGTGCCACTGTTAGCGCTCTGTATGGCGTGTGCCCGTCTTCGTTAGCCAATGAATTAATAACGCTATAAAATGACCAATTTAATTACATTGGAAGGTGAATAATGATCAAATAAAGTTTCGTTGTCAATATAAACGACGGGAAGTGTTAGAATTAGTGAGTATTGTAAGATGATAGGAGACGAAATGAATGTCTTGAACGCGTGAAACTCTATATGTACTGTAATATATAGTCAAGCAGTAGTATGTAGTAAGTTTTATTTTAATCCCTTCAAGTGACTGTGAGTGTTCAACTAAACTGCCTATTAAGTCGAACAATAATCAATTATTGAGTGAAAGTCCTGTTCTTAGGCAACAACGATTTCATTTTATGTTCGTGAGAGAGACAGAGAGAGAGTCTTAAAGGAGCTAAATCTCTAACATTTGGGACCTAGAAATTGACAAAAGTGGGTCGCAACGCATATAATACTGTAATATGAATGTATATAAACTGATTTACAATCAATGGTTTCCGTTTTTACTCCAATTTCAAAATCAGTTATGTTCGACGAAATAAGCCAGCAGTCTCAAGCGAGTGCAAATTTCTAGCGTCTGGTTATTCCAGTATACATACGCCGTTTGATTTGGTGCAATGTGTCTAGCCTCGTCCCTCGAGTCTCTTGATACAACTGGGGCTGAAGCGCATTGTGGTACACGATTCGTGTACTAATGGTAAAATGTTTATTTTGTCTTAAATATTGGATATCAAAAGCCCATATTTCCGGTAGGATCACAACATGAATGTTGATTTAATTTGACAAATAAATCGTGTTTTCAATGTTGAAGATTTTGGATGATATTGAGTTAGAGACTTAGCTACTTTAATGAACGGCGAATATGGACTATCAGATACAACGTCTAGAACAGAAGTTCTCAGAAACCCAGGTCTATATTTCAAATGTCTGTTGATAAAAAGGGGAGGGTGAAATGAAGTCTAATGTCCACTCGACACAAACTAGGTCATTTTGGGACTAACATATGGTTCAATTTTATTTCAATAATTCACTTGCGCGTAGGCGTCTTTAGTCGTGGGAGGAAACCGGAGAACCCGGAGAAATCCCACGAGGTTGGACAGGAGACCCTACTCCTTGTCACGTACAGCCGGGGAATCGAAATCACACCAGTTGACTCAATGACAGACCTAATGATACAGCGCGCGCGTGCTAACCATTCGGCCATCCAGCCCCCTTATTTATGAAGACCGCGAAGAACGGAGAATGAAGTTAGTGTGGCCTTAATGTAACCACTTTCTTGTCGGGATATGACATCATCTTCATCTCAATATGATGAATGACACCGTTACATCCTTGATCTTTATATACTGTATCATTATGTAAGGACAATGAAAAGAGAGAGAGAGATTTTAATCCAATTGACATGGTTGAAATATATTTCAATACATGCGACCCTACCCCTTGCCATGTACAAGCTGGGAATCGAAACCATGCCAGTTGATTCAACGACAGCCCTTGTTATCTAGAACATTTGGCCAACCAACACCCGTATATTTTATACATGTAAATCTAACAATTATGAACAAACAAGAGAGAGGGGGGGGGGGTTACCGTCCACTCGACACAAACTACGTCCTTTGGGACTAACATAATAGTTCAATTTTATTTCAATAATTCGCTTACGCGTAGGGGTCTTTAGGGAGGAAAACCCGAGGACCCGGAGAAAACCCACGAGGTTGCACAGGCGAGTATTTTATATAACCAACCCTAATATTATCTAATTCACTAAGTAAATAATATGTTAAACAGATAAGTAAATAATATGTATAATTTTAATAAATAAGTGATATAAAAAAGTAAGACTCTTACCAAAAACATCCGTTATGTGCAATATCATCGCGATGTAGTAACTCAGTGCTAAATAAATATATTCACGGAAAAGCGTCCCACCTCGTCATGCGCAAGACTTCATTCATTGAACAAAGGCCTATAATGTCACTAGCTTTATGATGGCCAACGACTATGCATTTCTGGCTATATAACATGTCTGCTGTATTTAAAATCTAATGAATTACAACAAAATTATACAGGTGTGCCGCGAGATCTTCCTAAGTGTATATACCGCGAAATTTTGTTTGAACGGCAATTGAGTATTCACTGGTGTCTACTGATAAGTTCATAGATGTGTTTTTCTTTATTTAGTTTGAGTCATTCTGTGTGTCGTTAACTAGTCTCTGTCTACGGTTATATTCCGTCTGACTTACCATGTTTTTATTTTGCAAAATTCAAATATTTTTCATATATATATAGCCTATATTTAGCCAAATGTGCCGCTGTTTTTTTCATGTGTTCCAAGGCGTGCCGTTAGTAAATAAAAAAAGGTTGTGAACCACTGCTCTATCCTATACCTTTTTGTTTTACCACTCATCAGATATATACACAAACAATATTGTAAAGAGCCGGGAAGTGGTGACCCATGATTTTGCCTGAGGAACAAGATCCCGTCCGAGCCGCCGTCAACAATATTTAACTGTGGGGAAGGGTGGGGTTCCCAGTGCCGGGTAATATTGAGCTGTTTGGAACATGCTAGACCCACGGTATATGTTTGACACTACTGGCTAAGCGTTATGATTATAATGCTGAAAACCGCTTTGAAACCACGTGATTTTTTGACATTTGCGAGAGGGCGCAAAAACTCGAGGGGACGCTAATCAAAACCATGACGCAAGCGCGTGGTAAAGACAATTATGGCAGGTGCGTCTGCATGTTCCATACTAAACTGTGCTGTCTGTCTATCGTTAGCTCCGCGTGAGAACAAACACTAAACTAGTTGACCGACATTTTAAGTTCTAAATGGATGGAAATGTGGCAGTCAATCTCCTATCAACCAGATTCCTGGAGGTCGGGTGTAGGCCTACGATCCCTGCATTGGCCGAGAAAGTTCATCCAGATTTTCCGGCGTGGCCCCCCTTGTCAGTGATGCAGCACAAGGACAGCTGTCTAGTCGTTCGGGTGGGACGAAAAACCGTGGTCCCGTGTACACATTGGCGTGCACGTAAAAGATCCCTTGGCAGTTGGAATTCGATATAAGAGTTGGCCGTAGTGCCGCTGTCCGGACAATTTCCCTCATAGCACACTGCATGGCGTATGCCCTTCTTTATTAGTCCAGTTCGGAGCAGAACAATAGGACGTTAAACCCCATTTCATTTCATTTAGTTTAACATTTCTCATTTGTACTTGATAACGATAAGAGAATACTTGTCGAAACGTCGTGCTATATGTGTATAAACCAGTGATTGTATTCCATATAAATTGTGTTGTGTTTTTTTAATGTGCTCAATCACTAAATGTCACTCAAGGAGTAGACGTAGAGATAGTTATTTAGTACCGAAAGGATTCGCTCTCATCCCACCGTTTGATGGTTTCTAAATGATTATCTCTGTATATAGGTGTTTGTCTTTGTTCCAAATTTTGTATATATATATCTGCATTGTAATATGGTTGTCATTCTTTGCTTGATAAAGACGGACGTCGCTGAAATAAATCCTTTAAAAATACATTATGTAAGATTTAGATAAAGAACTAGCCATTCTTGCTATAATAGTTCGAAAGTAGATGATGTAAAATGAATAATTTGAAAATTTCATTCAAATTACTCTATTGTAAGCGAAGATATTAGCCTTTGACGGTTTGACAAACGTGTGCAATAATTTCAACCACTGTACTGGTTGATCGAAGCTAAGTCTCGGTCCTTTGATTAAATCAAAGTATCGCTGAACCATTCTAATCTATTTCATATCGGAGAAATCTGATGCCTTCGAGAGTTGATTAAGGCCTGGATCAGTTAATTAATGTCTAATTAATACTTTAGAAAACATTTCAGGCCTAAAGAAAGACCTGCAATAGGCAGATTTAGCTCTTGCATAATGCATGTTTAAGTAACTTGTATTACATATAATTGTGTCATGTGTTAATTCATGTGTAACACGTATCTACTGTTTGAGTGAAAGATGCCAGATCTCCAGTGTTCTAAACAATTTTAAAGATCTCAATAAATATTATCATTCACAATGTTGCCTCCTAAAAAAAGGTACGCATTCCAAAGTGATATGATAATCCAAAGAGCTAACATTTTCTGGGAGTACAGGATTTGAAGGGAGTCGTTCGTTCACATTATTAGCATGTCGAATATCGTTTTCTTTGGTACCTAGAGAGAGAGAAATGAGGTCTAACGTCCACTCGACACAAAGTAGGTCATTTTGGTACTAACATGTTTTTTAAATTTTTTTATTTCCATAATTCGCTTGCGCGTAGGGGTCTTTAGCAGTGGGAGGAAACCAGAGGACCCGAAGAAAACACACGAGTTTGGACAGGCGAACAACCGGGGATTCGAAACCATGCCAGTTGACTCAATGACAGGCCTTATGATACAGGCGCACCTGCTAACCATTCGGCTATCCAACCCCCCTTTATTGGTACCTTAACTAATGTATATCGCAGTCTTTGATCAGAGGTAAACTAATAGATATGACACAGTCTTACTTAGATCAGAGTTAAACTAGAAGATGGGGAACTGTTTTACTTACAGTAGAGGTAAACTAGAAGATGGGGCATGGTCTTCCAGTAGGGGTAAACTATATCTAATAGATGTGACACTAATAGATGAGGCATGGTCTTACTTACATCAGAGTTAAACTAATAGATGGGGCATGGTCTTACTTACATGCAGGGTAAATATTTCTGGATATAAAAGAAACACTTATCATTTGAAGGTGACTCATATATTTATTGGTTGTAAAATTCATATCGCAAATACAGCCATATAAAAACCTATACAGTTATTCAATCAACTGCAATCCGATTATAATACAGATCTATGTTTCGTTTCGTTTTTTATACTTTCGATGGCCTACACGCCAGGGGTCTTACGAGCGGCTTTTGACCTGTGATGTCAGACATTTGGTTAACCAATCAGTGTTTTGTTCATAGTGGCTTACCCACAGTTCCGTGCACCTCACGCCTAAAACTCGCCGTATTGGCTAATCCCTCACATCATCCAGAATGTGTGTTATATAACAACTCTTACAGATCCAAGTGTAGTAAAGACAAGTAAAACGAAATTTTGAACTATAAAAAACGAAATGAAATAGGATCTGTGTTTTAATCAGATTGAATCAACTGAGATATATACAAACTATACATGTAAATCTAACAATTATGAACAAACCAGAGTGAGAGTGGGAGAGAGAGAGGAAGGGAGAGAGAGTTCAACAACCACTCAACACAAACCAGGTCATTTCGGGCCTAACATATGGTTCAATTGTATTTCAATAATTCTCTTGCAGGTAGGGGTCGTTAGCTGTGGGAGGAGACCGGATGACCTTGAGAAAACCCACCACGAGGTGGGACAGGCGACCCTACTCCTTGTCACATACAATCGAAACCACTGTATCAAATGAAACACTGAGAAGAAAACGGAGTACTACAGGAAAGAAGATAAGTTTAAATTCATATCCTAGGCATTTATAACATAAACATACTTACACTTCATTTCCTACACTTGAGAAATGTCTATTTTAATTATTATGTCTGCCACACAATCACACATAAATAATTTAATTCATTATATTATAAATCTTCAAATAAACTACTCTCATAAAATTATATCACATTTATTAAACAATAACAAAGTCCTGTAAAAAGTGTATCACATATTTACTATACTAATGTTAGGGTGCCCCACACAGCAAAATTTAAGATGTAATAAAAGTTGACCCTACCTTAAAGGGGCATTATGAGAGATTAGATAAAGGGTTAACTGTTCTCGCTATAATAGTTAAAAAATAGATAACGTAAATAGAATATGATGAAAAATTCAGTCAAATTGCTCCACTCTGAACCAAGATATTAATTTTTGAATATTAGGCTAGCCTCGATCATCATTACTAAAGTAGGGGTAATAAATAACAAAGTCTCGTTTATCCATTTTTAGGTTCAATTATTTTTCAAAAAAATATATTCCAATCCGCTAAATATCATAGGCTAGCGATGGCATCGAGCGTTGACTATGGTGTTGATAAGTTAATTATTGTCTATTTAATAGTTTATATAACATTGTAGACCTAAAGAAAGACCTGCAAAAGGCAGATTTACCTCTTGCATAATGTATGTTTAACAAAAGAAAATAAAAATACCAATGTTAGATAGTTAGATTTAAAAAGGCCTGTTATTTCTGATGACTAGGAGAGAGTTATATGTATAACAATACTTTTCAAGAGGTTTTACCGTGTGGGGTGTAGCTTACTAATGTTTTAAGGATTTTTAAGGATAAGGGTCTCTATAGGAGGATTGGTAATATCCGGGATCTGCAAATAGAAAACAGAAATATTGCCTTGAATACTAAAACTTGACAACACAATACAGAGAGAGGGAGAAATGGGGTTTAGTGTCCACTCGACACAAACTAGGTCATTTCGGGACTAACATATTATTCAATTTCATTTCAATAATTCGCTTGCGCGTAGGAGTCTTTAGCAGTGGGACGAAACCAGAGGGCTAGGAGAAAACCCATGAGGTTGGAGAGACGACCCTACTACTTGTCAGTTGTCACGCACAAGCAAGGATTCGAAACCATGTCTCTTGGCGCAATGACAGACCTTATGATCAAACGTGCACCCGTTAACCATTCAGTCACCACTACCCCCCCCCCCCCAATACTTTAGTCGGTTTGAGGCAATCATATGATAATTGTTTTTTCTATGGTTATTTTTGTAATCCAACAAAGAGAACTGTGCCCAGGCAGCAACATTTTTATCTCCTCTTCTTACTTTGATGCAGTGTGCTATGAGGGAAAATTTGCCCAGATAGCAGCGCTATGGCCTACTTTATCTTGAATTCCAACTGTCAAGGTTTTTTTAACGTGCAAACCATTGTGAAGACAAGTGGATATCGTAACGACTACACAAAACTTTCCTATACTTAAGACAAAATGACGTCCAATTTGAAGAAAATAAGCAGTATTTAAATAATAAAATATGAATAATGAATGAAATGAAATGGGGTTTAGACATCCTACTGTTCAGCTCAGACATACGCCATACAGTGTGCTATGAGGGAAATTTGGCCTGGGCAGCGGCACTACAGACTACTCTTATGTCAAATTTTATGTGCACGGGGATGTGTACACGTGACCTCGCTTTTCGTCCCATCCGAATGACTAAATGTTGTCCTCTGTCAGGCACTGACACGGGGAACCATGCCGGAACTCTCTCGGCTAACACCAGGACCTCTAGGTTAGCGAGTCACTGTCTTACTCACTGGGAGCGATGATGACTAAGTGGGTAAGATGCTGGCTCGTTAGCCTGGAGGTCGCGTGTTCAATCCCTGCATTGGCCGAGAAAGTTCATCGGGATTTTCCGACGTGGTTTCCCTTGTCAGTGATGCAGAACGGAGGGCCTGACAAGAACAGCTGTCTAGTTGTTTGGATGGGACAAAAAACGAGGTCCTGTGTACACATTGGCGAGCACGTAAATTATCCCTTGGCAGTTGGAATTCAATATAAGAGTAGGCCATAGTGCCTGTATCCCGGCAAAACTTCCCTCATAGCACACTGCATGGCATATGCCCATCTTCATTGGCCCTGTCGGAGCAGTAGGATGTTAAACCCCATTTCATTTCATTTCATTTGTCTTACTCACTGAGCCACTGTGACTATAAATAATAAATTAAGTAACTTACAAGAACTAGTACTTGGTCTACTATAAGGAGAATGATGAATGCTGCTACTAGCACTGGTATTAACTTTAGGTGAAGGTGGTGGAAGCTGTGGTCTATACTGGTCTGTTAACTTTACAAACAGAAAGCGAGCCGTTCTTAAAATGGCTGCATGTATTGCATACTGTAACACAAGAGCTCCGAAACCTCGATACAGCCCCGGTAGTCCTTCTTCTAATATAATACTCCTAAAACAGTCGATAAATCCCTCGTAGCCTGTGTTAATAGGTATTACACCACACCCAGTATCCATATTATCTATGATGGTTCGTGTGCCTTGAACATATAGTCTGTTTAGAACCGTTTCTATCGGATACAGAGTTACGTCTGCTATGATGGCACCAGAAAATGTACCAAGTAAATCTGGGAAATATTGATCATACAGGGTCTGGGACATTGGCGTCTGCTCTATAGAATGATCCTGAAATATATGAGATAAAGTTTCACAGAAGTAGAAAAATCAAAAACTCTACACAAGAACATATCACAATGAGAGACGGAACTGGGGCTTAACATCCACTTGACACAAACTAGGTCATTTCGGGACTAACACATGGTTCAATTTTATTTCAATAATTCACTTGCGCCTAGGGGTCTTTAGCAGTGGGAGGAAACCGGAGGACCCAGAAAAAACCCACAAGGTTGGACAGGCGATACTACTCAAAGAAGGCAAGACACAAGATAGTAGAAAATTCAAAAACTATACACAAGGACATATCAGAGAGAGAGAGAGTGCGAGAGAGAGAGAGGGGGTTTAACCTCCATTCAACACAACTAGGCCATTTCAGGACTAACATATGGTTCAATTTAATTTCAATAACTTGCTTGTATGTAGGGGTCTTTAGAAGAGGAGGGAAACCGGAGGACCGGGGGAAAACCCACAAGGTTGGACAGGGGACCTTATTTCTTGTCACTCATTAGAAGCCATCAATCGAAATCACGCCATGAGACACAATGACAGACCTTATGGTGCACACGTTAAACCATATGGCACCCCAACACCCAAAAAGACAAATACTTTTAATGAACCACCAAGGGTTAACAGGTAATTCAATGCAAATCGTGACAAGCATGATGTAAATTATTATAGATAAGATTATTATAGATAAGATTATTATAATTTTAGATAAGATTATTATAATTTTAGATAAAATTATTATAAATATTAGATAAAATTATTATAATTTTAGATAAAATTATTATAATTATATATAAAATTATTATAATTTTAGAAAAAATTATTATAATTATAGATAAAATTATTATAATTTTAGATAAAATTATTATAATTTTAGATAAAATTATTATTGATAAAATTATCATAGATAAAATTATTATAGATAAAACTATTATAGACAAAATTATCATAGATAAAACTTTTATAGATAAGATTATTATAGATAAAATTAAAATTATTATAGATAAAACTATTATAGATAAAATTAAAATTATTATAGATAAAACTATTATAGATAAAATTATTATAGATAAAACTATTATAGATAAAACTATTATTGATAAAACTATTATAGATAAAATTATTATAGAGAAAACTATTATTGATAAAACTATTATAGATAAAATTATTATAGAGAAGATTATTATAGATATTTAGGGGTGTGTTCAGGAATTTAAACAGCAGAGGATCAAGGTTGAATCAACCTCAAGTTTGGCGTGAGTTTTAGGGGATTACCGAGAATTATATAAAATCAGAAGCTCTAAGACAATATTTCTGTATTAGAGTCGAGTGAGGCCAAAACAGCGGCAATGCTTTGCATGTTAGTTTGTTCAATGTTATTTTGATGAATTCAGGAGAGAACAACAATTATCTGTGCAAGCAGGGGAGGGTTCGGACCCCGTCTCTGGACACGCACCTGATACCTATACTAATATATGTGACTCTTGTTTGTTTGTCTGTTTAGGGATGGTGGCTACACTACTAGAGTTGTCTCAAGGATGAAATTTGGTGTATAGACGGGTAGCTTATCGGGAAGTAACGTAGTCCTTGTGGCGAGGGACTTCCGGTTTCAGAGTTATACTATGTTCGGTTCATGGCTATACCCATCCTACATCTGGGGCCTGTTTCACGAAATTTTAACTAAGATAAACTTCAAATTTTAGTAATATGATTGGATAATATTAGATTGATTTTAGTGCTTAGCCAATCAAAACTGAAGTATCTACAAAAATTTGGATTTTATCTTTAGTTAAGATTTCGAGAAACAGGGCCCAGGTCAACCGCTAGTGTATACAAGCCGGGAAATAAGGCAGGTGTCACAGACAATGCCAGGCACAGATTCAGGCTTTGTCAGTCACAAAACCTCTGGTGCCTGTCAGTTTGTCCGGCACTGATTTGGGTTTTTTTATTGATATTATTAATACATGTCCGGCACTAAGTTGAAAATGTCAGGTACTATTTCATTAATGTTGACATTTTGTCAGGCACATGTAAAACCGTTATTTCTAGGTCTGAGTGTATATTATATTTTCTTTTAAAAAACAACATAAAACATATTTATTTAATCAGGCTTTTAACTGACTCCGTATACAATCGTTAACATAATCGTTAATAATAATAATAATAATAATAATAACTTACCGTGTTTTCTTGTTGATCTGATCGTATAGAAGACACGACAGTATACTGAGCTATAGATGTAATTATATAATGGGAAACTCGAAATACAGCTGTAGGAAAAACTAATTTCCAGATAGGCAATAAACGTGTTGTCTGTGGCATTCCCCATCCCATTACTCTGGTCACACCTTCTTTTAAACAATCAAATACTCCTGGTTTCTCACTGGCGATATCACTCTACAAAAACAACCAAAACATACAATTATCATAATACTCCTGGCGATATCACTCTACAAAAACAACCAAAATAAACAACTATCATAATACACTCTACAAAAACAACCACAATAAACAATTATCATCATAATAGTTTAGTTAATTTTAAAAATATCTGGGCAGTTAAAGAGATAATTTAACAAGTTCTATCCGTGGTGTCATTTAACCCAGCTGTGAGTTATATTAGTTGACCAGCTGTAGTGGAAGGTCGCGTCAGAGGTCATAAGAGCCAATCAGTGTTGATGTTTCTAGCGGGTTACCCACAGTTCCGTGCACCTCACGCCAAACACTCGCCTTAAAAGATTGTTTCTTTGGCTAATCCCTCACATCATCCAGAATGCAGGTTATATAACAACTCTTACAGATCCAAGTGTAGTACAGACAAGTAAAACGAAATTTTGAACTATAAAATAACGAAACGAAATAGGATCTGTGTTTTAACCAGATTATGTACTATACTAACCATGTTTCTGAAGCAACGACTGCAAGTTTTACAACATCTGGACGTTGTTAGATTACTTCACAATTCCCGAACTTATAGCTACGTTATCTGCAGACACGTGAACAGTAGCGTCCAATCAGAGGTTGTGACATAGCGACCTCCACAGAAACCTTGACATTGAACGAACCTTGAACTTTGCAACTCGATTATCACAGGTAGACATTTTAACTTGAAAGCGCGCGACTTGGTATTCGCGACGATCTGATAGGAATCAGATGGGCTCTAAAGCTGGGAGAATACCCAATCGAAATTAGTGTCGAAATAGGCAGAGTATTACATAAATAAGATGTACGTAGTTAAAGCGAGATCAAGCCTTCTATTGAAGATGACTACTAACCTGAAGAGTCTCTATGAGACTTGATGCAAAAAAAGGTGTAGTCAACACAAATGTCAAGCTGAAATATAAAAACAGATGAACTGATCAGGGATTTTAAAGGGCCAATCCTGATAATACTTTGGAGAATAAAACTGCTTAATTTTGTGTTAAAATCCCTTAAAATCCTCTACCTTAAGGCCGAGCAACTAACTCAATATATGTGATTCATTTTCAAACAACTTAAACCCGTCAGAGTCTTCATCTGAAAATGGAGACCGGCGTCCCAAGCTGTATTATGCAGTGTCTGGATAAAACCAGACTTTTTTTTAAATAAAAATAATGTGTAGGTGAAATTTACCTTTCGTTATCAAGTACAACACATGGGTCATGCACTGTATTGACCTCTAAAGGAACGGGAATCGATTATCAGGTCACCCACCATTCCTCTATATTTTGGAGCTTAAATTCCATACGTACTCAGACTTTCATTTTCGAGACTCTGTTCAAAATCGGGATAGTCCCTTTAATTGACTGATTATTGTCGGCTTCATTTGCTTGATGTTTAAAAAATCTGATTCATAAATCGATGAACCGGTCACTATGGTATCGGCTAAATTACGACAGGTTAATTATTACTTGTCGATTAAGATGTCAATCAACTTGCTTGTTGGCTACATAAAAGTACCACGCCAGTTGACTCAATCACAGACCTTAAGATACAACGTGCACGTGCTAACCATTCGGCCATCCCCCATCCACGTTTTTTTTATTTCCAAATCCAACTGTCAGTGGAAATGTAGCATTAGTATTTCCTCTAGTTAAACTTTACCATAACACAGGATATATTTATTTATGGTAAAATAGAACTAATCTGGGAGCCCCTTTAATATTGGAGCCCCTGGTTGTAGCCCAGTCTGTAAATGCCTTAATCCGACTAAATAAAGATACATTTTACATTAAATACACGTCTATCTGTTGGTCTTTATAAGCACTTTGAGCACGACAGGAAGTGGATTTTAGCGCTATATATAAATGTAATTATTATTATTTGTACATACCTTTTCAACAAAATGTGCTCAAAATTCTTTTTAATACTACTATGTCTGGTTATTTCCCTACAAAATAGATTTGAATTACTTTGTAGAAAGTTAATGCATCATATCCTTTCATAAACCCTGAAATATGTACCTTGTAGGTAAATCTAATGATCTAAAACGAGAGAGAGAGAGAGAGAAATGGGGTTTAACGTCCACTCGACACAAACTAGGTCATTTCGGGACTAACACATGGTTTAATTTTATTTTAATGATTCGCTTGCGCGTAGGGGTCTTTAGCAGTGGGAGGAAACCGGAGGACCCGGAGAAAACCCACGAGGTTGGACAGGCGACCCTACTCCTTGCCACGTACAACCGGGGATTCGAAACCACGCCAGTCGACTCAATGGCAGACTTTATGATACAACGCGCGCACGCTAACCATTTAGCCATCCAACCCCCCATGATCTAAAACAGATGCAATGATAGTTCCAACATAGTTAAAGTGGCAATAGGTAAGATTAGATAAAGAGTTTACAGTTCTCGCTATAATAGTTAAATAGATAAAGAGTTTACAGTTCTCGCTATAATAGTTAAATAGATAAAGAGTTTACAGTTCTCGCTATAATAGTTAAATAGATAAAGAGTTTACAGTTCTCGCTATAATAGTTAAATAGATAAAGAGTTTACAGTTCTCGCTATAATAGTTAAATAGATAAAGAGTTTACAGTTCTCGCTATAATAGTTAAATAGATAAAGAGTTTACAGTTCTCACTATAATAGTTAAATAGATAAAGAGTTTACAGTTCTCGCTATAATAGTTAAATAGATAAAGAGTTTACAGTTCTCGCTATAATAGTTAAATAGATAAAGAGTTTACAGTTCTCGCTATAATAGTTAAATAGATAAAGAGTTTACAGTTCTCGCTATAATAGTTAAATAGATAAAGAGTTTACAGTTCTCGCTATAATAGTTAAATAGATAAAGAGTTTACAGTTCTCGCTATAATAGTTAAATAGATAAAGAGTTTACAGTTCTCGCTATAATAGTTAAATAGATAAAGAGTTTACAGTTCTCGCTATAATAGTTAAATAGATAAAGAGTTTACAGTTCTCGCTATAATAGTTAAATAGATAAAGAGTTTACAGTTCTCGCTATAATAGTTAAATAGATAAAGAGTTTACAGTTCTCGCTATAAATAGATAAAGAAAACGGGATATGCTGAACATTTAAGTCAAATTGCTCCACTCTGAACCAAGATATTAGTGATTCAATTTTAGGCTAGCCTCGATTGTCATTACTACCATTGGTCGATAATAAACAAAATCTCAATTATCCATTTTTACATTATATCATCCATTATAAACTGTATTCAAATCCACTAAATATTGCTAGGTAGCGATGGCATCGAGAGTTAATTATGGTCTGGATAAGTTAATTAATATCTAATTAATAATTAAGATAATATTTCAGACCTAATGAAAGACCCGCAATAGGCAGATTTAGCTCTAGCATAATGCATGTTTAAGGGGTTTTCAGTACTGGTAAAATAATAAAAAAAAGTATCAGATATTTTAAACAAAGAGAGAGTGAAATGGGGTTTAACGTCCACTCGAGACAGACTACGTCATTTCGCGAATACCACATGGTTCAATTTTATTTCAATAATTTGCTTGCGCATAGTGGTCCTTAGCAGTGGTAGGAAACCGGAGGACCCGGAGAAAACCCACGAGGTTGGACAGGCGACCCTACTCCTTGTTACGTACAACCGGGGAATCAAAACTATGCCAGTTGATTCAATGGCAGACCTTATGATACAGCATACGTGCTAACCTATGGCAATCCAAACCCCCTATTTTAAACAAATTGTCTGAGATCCAGTATATTAGGTCAAAGATGAAGCATGAGTTTATTTACTTACTTAGGAAAGGGAGTGAATTCACTAATAACTGTATCTGAAATCATCACTAGGCCTCGAACAACAAAAACACTACCAATTCCTTTCCATAGAGTTCCCAGTCCCTGTAGTATAAAAAAGAAAAAAATGTATTACTAATTTAAAATAACAATCTGATTAAAATACTGATCTACATATCGTTTCATTTTTTTATACTTTCGATGGCCTACACTACATGAAGATCTGACCAGTTGTAGTGGAAGATGATCTTTCTAGGTCAATGCAGGGATCGAACACGACCTCCAGGCCAGCCAGTCAGCGTCTACGCACTTAGCCACCATGACTCCCACCCTTTAAAGGAATACCTACCTGATGTTTATGGAGGTTTAATAACACCTGTATTAAAGGAATACCTACCTGATGTCTATAGAGGTTTAATAATACCTGTGTTAAAGGAATACCTACCTGATGTTTAGTAATACCTGTATTAAAGGAATACCTACCTGATGTCTATGGAGGTTTAATAACACCTGTATTAAAGTAAAAGGTGTTAAATGATACCAATCTCCATTATGATGAACCTACAAATAATACAAATGTTTCGTTAAAAAGCATAATTCTAGACGTAAACAGTGAAGGATTTATCAAACCAATGTTTAGTTAAAAACATAATTCTAGAGGTAAACAGTGCGGGATTTATCAAACCAAAAGTGTAACATCACAGTTGCTTTTTCAAATCTTACTTTGTCCAGCTGTATATGCAAGGAACTTTCTCAGCCAACATCGACTGTGAACCCAAGATCTCCTGGTTAGCAAGCTAGCCAGTTAGCTACTGTATCAACAACACTCACTGTAATTCGGGTATTGTTTAATCTTGTGTATCTAGCACTAATATCTTTCACATTCGTTTAATATCAAATCTTTGTTGAAACATTCGTAAAAATCATTTAAAATCACTCAAAATCATCTAATTTGTTCTTGTGTCCTGTTGATTTTTGGTGATTTTAAACGATTTTTACGAATTTATAAACAAAGATTTGATATTGAATGAATGTGAAAGAAATTCATGCTAAATACACAAGATTAAATGATACCCAGGTTATAGTGACTGAAAATCTCTAATATCAAAGGAGAGAAAGCGCTCTGCAGCAAAAAAACAAAAACAATAGTTGGTAATTACCTGGCACTGTCTCCTCAATACTTGACAAGGATGTGACAATAACTGCTCCGCAAAAACACTGAAAAAAAATATTAATTCTTTTTGGTAATGATCAAACATATAACTGAATTCTTCTTATCTTCTAGCTTTTTTTCTACATCTACATCATTACGGCCTAGACCAGGTTATTTATAACGAAATCAGTCCGTTTATACATGGATAAACAGCAACTTGCTTTTTTTGTTTGGTAAATTAATGACCTCCATCGTATGAACATAAAGGCCCACATTCAAGAATATGGGACCACATGGGACAGCCTGAGCCACTATGGCTTGCTTTGTGTGTGCAAAGCTGGACCATGGATTTTCACCCATCCGAAAGACTAGACACTTGAAGGTCACGTGAAGGTCAGTCTTGAAAATCCCAGAAAGCATTAAGGCGTCAATTTTAAGAATTCCATTTAAAACTGCATTTGATTTGAGTGATGGTTTTAAACTACAACAGGTATGAGAGAATATTACCTTGAAAGACCTATTGCAAATCCAGCAGCCTTTTGTACTTGATCTGAAATATTTAAAAAAAAAAGATTTACAAACAAATTCATCGAATGTAAAATGTCCTGGGCATATTCAGTGACTAATTGATGGCTGACTACTAGTACTAGGGACAGTCAGAATGATATCATGGTTCTTTTAATATTATAATCAACTTCTTCAAACATTTTCACACTAATCAAAAGAGGAATGCATAACCTTTTACGACATATTCAGGGCAACTATTTAATTGAAGATAAAAAATCATGGAAGTATTGGTTTACTATCTCTTAGAGGGTGAAGAGCTCCTAACTCAATATTATCCGGAGTCTTCGACATTACAAACAGAAATTATTGGTCCATTCCAATCAATAGTGAAGTTGTTATCTCTCTTACTGTGAAAATATGGGTTCTTGATATCCAATATTTAAGACATAATCAACAATTTTAAAATCAGTAGACACTGACGAGAACTCTGTGCTCTCGATTGTCATTGTAATGGCGTAAGCCTTGATGCACGAGGCTAAACGTCAGTAATTAATGTTAAACTGTATATGTACTTCCAATTATAATTATAAATAGATTGGACTAAGAAGGCGCGAGGGAAAGCCATTCAATTTGGACTCCACACACATATTTCGATGATCAAAACGTTATACAATCATATTACATGTGCTTTTCGACCAATTTTCATCCATTTTAGGTTCAAAGAATAGGGATTTAGCTCCTTTTAAATATGGTTTAATCATTATCAGAGGATTAACACTTGACAGTCGTTAAATTTCCAAGACTTCTGGAGAAAAAGGCATAGACACTGTTATTTATTACGTTGAATAGGGTCCGGTAGACCAAACCCTGGTGCACCAATCTGGTTTTGCACATTTTGACAGATTAATAGTAAACGCTTTGCTATATAGCTCCAATGAGTTAGGGGTTAACCACTACTCTGTGACTGCAGTTATCAAACTGACGACATGACATACAGGCTTGATCTCGGCAATATTGTAGGTCAACATATGTTATGTATTTGTCCTAGATTTTGACATCACGTAAACTGGTCGCTTGAGAGTGTTGTACAATATGAATGTCAAACTCAAAGTTGTTTGATTTGATAAAAAAAAATATTTCCTGATAATAGTGATAATTGATGATTTCACTCACCCGGTTGCGATGGAACCGTTTTTGGTTGTTCGGCTTCAAGAGATTGTCGAAATCGATCATAATCTTCATCTTGTTGATAACGTCGGGGAGAATAATTTGGGGAATAGTTTGGAGAATATCTGTCACTCATTGGTAAACCGTCCTGCATTACATTTGTACCCATCTAAACATTTTCATCATTCTTCGATGTCACTTTGAAAATAAACAATGACGTTTTTCATTTGGAGTTACCTCCCGTTGAACTATTTGGAGTTAGCTCCCTTGAGTTGCGGTCCAAATCTCAGTGAAGAGGGTAAAACATTCGTGGGTCAAAAATGTTGAAGACCGTATAGTTTCATATACCCAGACTCAAAAGACCTTTAAATTTCAACATTGTAAAATGCGACTTGATAATAAAGAAAAACAACATGGTATCTTATGAAAACACGTGTTGAAAAGATCGAATTGTTTGTTTATATATTTTAAAAGTTCATTTGAGTAAGAAATAATTTCCTGTTATTAGCAAATGAACGATAGCGAATACAAATCAATTATTTATTCAATAACATTGTGTTGTAATCAAATCATAACAATTCCTATTTATCACAGTCAAATATGGGACTCCAGTCCAATTTGATTTCTCGAAACCAAATAAGCAAATTGCAAATAAATGTCGAAATGAATACAAATTACAATGAAATAAGAAATGAAATGAAATGGGGTTGAACGTCCTAATAAAATAAGAACATTTTCTCCAAAATGTATGTTGCAGCATCAGCTCACAGTGTGGCCAGAAAATTCCATTCCCTTGATTGACCTTATTCGACCACTTATCTGCTTGTTCTCTTGTTCAACTTGTTGTTCTTTATTTAAAGGAGGTAAATCGCTAACATTTGGGACCTCAAAATTGAGAAAAGTGGGTCGCAACGTATATAATACTGTAATATGAAATGAATGTATATAAACTGGTTTACATTCAATGGTTTCCGTTTTTACTCCAATTTCAAATCAGTTATGTTTGGCGAAATAAGCCAGCAGTCTCAAGCAAGTGCAAATTTCTAGCGTCTGGTTATTCCAGTCTACATACACCGTTTGATTTGGTGCAATGTGTCTAGCCTCGTCCGTCGAGTCTCTTGATACATCTGGGGCTGAAGCGCATTATGGTACACGATTTGTGTACCAATGGTAAAATGTTTAGTTTGTCTTAAATATTGGATACCAAAAGCCCATCTTTTTCCAGTAAGATCACAACATGAATGTTGATTTAATTTGACAAATAAATCGTGTTTTCAATGTTGAAGATTTTGGATAATATTGAGTTAGAGACTTAGCTCCTTTAATAATCGTAATTGACAGAAAATTAAATTATTATTTTTTATTATTATAGGTTTTTGATTAGTTAAATCTAGAATGGAAGTTGATTTTCCCCGAGGTAAAGTTGACAAAAAGAAGCAACAAAATGTTCTGAGGAAACCTGTTCGAAGAAAAAGAGAAAAGAACCTGTTTATGGTACGTAGATTTCTATGGTTTAACTGTATCTTAAACGAAATGCAGTAATTAAAAGAAAAATCAATTTATAGTTTAATCATAAATAAAGATATTTTACATAGTTGAAATATACTTTTCAGCCGAGAAACTTTAGCAAATTAAGATTGTTACAATATTAGAAGTATTCATGTGAAATATTGTCAACTAGCTGTGTTAAGATATCTTCTATATTTTCAGACAGAGAGGTCAAAACCAAAAGCTAAAAAAAGAAAAGTTGCGAAAGGTGAAGAAGATGACGGAAAGAAACGTAAAATAGAGGGATCTGTTGATGCTCATGGGGCTGTGAAAATAGAGCTATTAAATAAAAAGGTAATTTACCTGGTTTGAACACTGCTCAGGGATTCGGTCCTGGTGTATTTCCAGCCTGGTTTCTCCTTGTCGGTGGTGCAGGACAGAGGGACAGGCAAGGACAAGTATCTAGTCATTCTGAGGGAATGAAAAACCCAAGTCCCATGTATACCATTGCCAGCACTTTAAAAATTCCTCGTTACTTAACAAACCCACCGCCATTTTCCTGTGGGCAAACAATTATTGATGGACATATTTTAATTCCGATTGAATCCAATTAATTAAATGTTCAAGAATCCGAGTACATGGATTAAACATATATTATGCATGAGCGAAATCTGTCTATTGCAGGTCTTTCTTTAGGCCTGATATGTTATCTAAATTATTAATTAGACATTAATTAAAGATGGGTTCCCGCGTACAAACTGGGTGATTTAATGGTATATGTGGACCAAAACATATTCAAACTAATTAATTTGTCATAATTATGCTTCAAATCCTTCTCAAACATTGTAATTGCGAAGGAATGCCCTGCTATTAAAATTCGATCAAACCAGGTCATGTTTACGTCACGTCTTGGGAGTCAGAGGAGAATTCATTGCATACATAAGACGATGTTGTCTTTAATCGCTTACTATTTATTACAAATATCGAATCCTAATTAAATTCTCGGATTATCCACTACCCGCGTCTTTTATCGTCATTTTTATCCCAGAAAGTATTGTACGTCTAACTCTTCATAAAGTTTGTACATCAAGTGCTCAATGTTCGCTTGTGACCTTTGACATCAAGCGTGCAGAAGTTCTTAATCGTCGGGCTGTTGATTAGGGGAACCCTTACATTTTTGTCCTGTATATGCTCCATGAGTGTTTTTTGGGGAATCCAGTATTTTTCTAGTAAGATTGGATATCTCTACTTTCCATATATACCAAAATTGCCATACTTTTATTGGAAATAACCACCTGATAAATACTTTTCTGGGAGGGGATCACGTGGCTAAGTGGGTAAGACGCTAGCTCGCTAGCCTGGAGGTCGGGTGTTCGATCCCTGCATTGGCCGAGAAAGTTCATCCAGATTTTCCGGCGTGGTTCTCCCTTGTCAGTGATGCAGGACGGAGGGGCTGACAAGGAAAGCTGTCTAGTCGTTTGGATGGGACGAAAAACCGAGGTCCCGTGTACACATTGGCGTGCACGTAAAAGATCCCTTGGCAGTTGGAATTCGATATAAGAATAGGCCGTAGTGCCGCTGTCCGGGCAAAATTTCCCTCATAGCACACTGTATGGCGTATGCCCGTCTTCATTAGCCCAGGTTAGGAGCAGAACAGTAGGACGTTAAACTCCATTTTATTTCATTTCACTTTTCTGGGAACCCATCTTTAACTTATCCAGACCATAATCAACTCTCGATGTCTTATTTACTGGATTTGATTACATTTTGTGATGATGATTTAATGTCAAAATGGATAATCGAGACTTTGTTTTTATCGCACCAACTTTAGTAATGTTAATCAAGGTTAGGCCAAAAATTCAGTCACTAATATCTCGGTTCAGAGTGGAGCAATTTGACTGAAATTTTCAGTATATTCTCTTTACGTTATCTATTTTTGAACTATTATAGTGATAACTGTTAGCTCCCATAATACCCTTAAAGCCGTGAGAAATTTGATATTATAGCGAAAAATGCAAATGACACCTTGTTACTTTTATTTGTTTCAGGTTGTATGTCCTGGTATGCTGTTATTAGGTTGTATTAGTGAGATAAGAGATTATAAATTAATTATATCTCTAGCTAATAATATGAAAGGTGTGGTATCTATAACTGATATATCTGATACATATACTAGTAAACTACAACAACTAGCAGAAGGGGAGATAACTGAGGATGAGGTAAGGATGTTCTCATTTCTAAAAGATTTCCATCATTACACATTGAGACAACACAACACACTTAGAAAACACAATGCACGGAGACAACACAACACACTGAGTCACCACAACACACTGTGACAAAACAACACACTGAGACAACACAACACACTGACACAAAACAACACACTGGTTGCCTCAACTTCAGGAAAACATTTTAATTTATTTTTGTATGTATGTGTTATAGGGTGTTCACAGTTTAAATGAAATGTTTAAAGTTGGTATGCTGGTTTGTTGTAAAGTCTCGGAGACCAGACTAAAAGTGACCAAACAGATTCTGGATTTATCGATGAATCCAAAACATATCCATGAAAATAAAACCGCTAAATTCTTAAAGAACAATATGGTGAGTGTTCCTTTTTTATAGAATCCTAACAATAAAAGGAGTCACAGTGGCTCAGTGAGTAAGATGTTGGGTCTCTAACCTGGAGATTCCGTGTTCGATCTCTGCGTTGGCCGAGAAAGTTCATCCGGATTTTCCGGCATGGTTTCACTCGTCATTGGTGCAGGACGGAGGCGTGGCATTGAACAATGTATAGTCATTCGGATTGGAAGTTTCAGGCTTGATTTCCTACCCCCCTTGTCAGTGGTGTAGGTTGGAGAGACTAGCAAGGGACAAAGTAGAGTCGTTCAAATGGGACTATAAAACTGTGTCCCGTGTACACGTAAAAGATCCCTTGGCAGTTTTAATTCGATATACGAGTAGGCCGTAGTGCCGCTGTCAAGACAAAATTTCCCTCGTAGCACATTGTATGGCGCATGCCCGTCTTCATTATCCCAGTCGGAGCAGAACAGTAGAACATTAAACCCTATTTCACTTGAGTATGGGTTTCTATTCTGATGTTGGCCGTGAAAGAGTCTTAGTCAGTCTGATGGAAAGAAACCAAGGCCCTTTGTATGCCATGGGCAGTATGTTAAAGATCTTTGGAGATCACAATAAGACTGAAAGAGTAGGCTGTAGTGCCGAGGCACAGTTAATTGTCCTCCATAGAAAACTGGATGGCATAAGCTTGTCTTCATTAGCTTTGAGGTAAGATTAATTGTCCCTCATAGCACACTGTATAGTGTATGGCATATTCTTGTCTTTATTGTCTTGGTTGTTGCTGAAAAGTATTACGTTAAACCCCATTTCATTTTCATAATAATTTTCATAAGAATATTACTCATTTCATTTCTTTAAAATTTTATCACTGAATTGTAATGTAAAATTTAAACTCTTTTGCTTTTAATGTGTTTGTGTTAATGAAATATTTGTCTGCATTGGAGGGGTCGGATTGCCGAATGGTTATCATAAAGTCTGTCATTGAGTCGACTGGCGTGGTTTCGAATCCCCGGTTGTACGTGGCAAGAGGTAGGGTCGTCTGTCCAATCTTGTGAGTTTTCTCCAGGTTGTCTGGTTTCCTCCCACTGCTAAAGACCTCTACGCACAAGCAAATTATTGAAATGAAATTGAACCATATTTTAGTCCCGAAATGACCTAGTTTGTGTTGAGTGGATGTTAAACCCCTTCTCTCTCCGGGTCTTCCGGTTTCCTCCCACTACTAAATACCCCTACACGCAAGCGAATTATTGAAATAAATTTGACCCATATGTTGGTCCCAAAATGAGTAGGCCTCTCTCTCTCTCTCTCTCCCCCCCCCCCCCCCCCCCCCCCACCGACTGGGCTAATGAAGACATGGTTTGTGTTAACGTAATTACGTAGAAAAATGTTGTAGAAAATTTTTTATATAGATTTTTATGGTAATAATTGTAGATAATATGTGGAAGTGTTGTTAGTCAAGAAGATCATGGTTATATAATAGATATTGGTGTACCTAATACCAAAGGTTTTCTACTCAATAAAAATGCTGAGGAGTATATACAAAAGATGGATGATAGTAAGTATTTTACGGAGAGGATCATAGATACGGTGGCTTAAGTAGTAGTTTACAGTAGAGCTAAATCTGCCTATTACAGGTTTTTCTTTTGGGTTTAAATGTTATATAAATTATTAATAAGACATTTATTAACATAAAAAGACCTTAATCAATTCTCTAGACTATCAGATGGTCGTGATGTTCAACGGATTGAAACAGGATCACCATTTAATAATTTAATTTAAAAATGGATAATCAAGACTTGTTTATTATCATAACAATATCGTGAAACGTTGAACCACGAATAACTTCGATCAGAATAAGGTAATTGGCTGAAATTTTTAAAACAATTATAGCAAGAACGACCATCTCTTTATCTAAACCTTATATAATGCAACTTTAAATAGTTCACAACTATTCATGTGACTTGGGCAAGTGTTTGAGATTTTAGAGAGAATCGCCGTTTTGGGCAGTCCACGCTTGCTAAAGTGTTCAAACTAATTTTCTGATTATTGTAACACTTTATAATGTGTTAATTTGCAAGTTTGTTTTGTATTGCTGTTTATTGAGCAGTTTTCCTTGATTTTCTGTTTGTTAAAATTTAGAACGTATCTTTTGTGTACTGATCATTTTCTAAGGGTCATTTAATGGCATTGTAATATTGTAAAGATCCCCTGAACACGTGTGAAAGGAGGAGAGTAAGGCGAAAAGCACACAACGATTGTACTTGCTTCTATTGAGCATTTTGATAGGCTCTAATATGGATTAGTTGTAGAGGGGAAAAATGCAAAATTTTTGAATGTCTGCAAAATTTTACGCAGCTCAAAATTGAACCACTGTGACCTTTGGTCGAGGACTATTTACAATTTGTAATAATAATTAAAGAATGCTATTTTTACATTTTTAAGGTGAATCATTAATGGAAGGACAAGTTTTATGGTTCTGTGTTAAACTGAAAGCAGATGAAGATTTATCAACAGATAGCCTACATACAATACATCTTACCATTTCTCCTACAAAAATATCCAAAACTAAGGTAAGCATAAGTTAATAACTATCTGTACAAAAATATCTGAAAGTCTTGTAAATTTAAGATAATTATAATATCTTATCTAAAAATGTCTAAAACTCTTGTAAATTTAAGATAATTATAATATCTTATCTAAATATATCCAAAACTGTTGTACATTTAAAATAATTATGATGATTACGATATCTTATCTAAAAATATCTAAAGTTGTTGTAACTTTAAGATAATAATTATGATTTCTTATCTAAAAATATCTAAAACTGTTGTAAGTTTAAGATAATAATTATGATATCTAAAACAGTTGTCAATTTAAGATAATTATCAAGATTACGATATCTTACCTAACAATATTTAAAATTGTAAGTTTAAGATAATAATTATGATAATATCTTATCTAAAACTTGTAAATTTAAGATAATCATGATATCTAAAAATATCTGAAGCTGTTGTAAATTTAAGATGATCATTATTATCTTTCCAAAAGAATGTCTTCCTCATATTTGAACTGGAATTATACAGTAGTATTTTGATATCTACTAGAGATGATTGAACTATTTATTTTGGTGATTGTTATATTTCAGATAAATGTTGATCAACCCATGACATTCAATAATCTGATGCCAGGTGTTTGTGCTACTGCAATCGTTAAAAAGGTTTGTTATTCTTCTATAGGGTGCAGGGGTTACTCAATGGCTCGCTACCCAGGAGGTCTAGGGTTCGCCTACGGTGTTGGCAGAGCAAGTTCCTCTGGATTTTCCAGAGTGGTTTCCCCTTGTCAGTGGTGTAGGATGGATGGCCTGAAAAGAAAAGTGTTTAGTTTGATTGGATAGGGAAAAAATCAAAGTCCTGTGTACACATTGCTGAGCATGTAAACGAACAGTTAAAATTGAATTAGATTAGGATTTACTTCCACTCTCTGGCCAAAATAGTAGATTGTATGGCATATGCTTTATCTTCATTAACAACTCTTCCAGATCGTGTTATAGTGACGACATAAAAGGAAATTTTGAACTCTAAAAAAAAAAAAAAAAATACAAATGCCATCATGGTGTTGGCCGAGAAAGTTCATCAAAAGTTTCCGGCATGGTTTGCCCTTGTCAGTGGTACAGGACGGAGTGGAGGGCCTGACAAGGACGGCTGCCTAGTCATTTTATTGACGTAAAAGCTCCCTTGGCCGTTAGAATTCGATTAGAGTAGGCTGTAGCTCTGCTGTCCGAGCAGAATTTCCCTCATAGCACACTGTATGGTGTAAGCCTGTCTTCATTAGCCCAGTCGGAGCAGAATAGTAGGACGTTAAACCACATTTCATTTCATTTCAAGTGCCATCATATACTTATAATGATGAATGCTGTTTTATAATTTTAGGCCAGTGAATATGGATTAGTTGTTCGTATAGGGAACAAGATTTGTGTGATTCATCCAACTCATATTAATGGAAACCCAACAGATTATAAAGAAGATCAGGAGGTACGTATTAAAGTACATTATGGGAGATTAGATAAAGAGCTGACAGTTATCACCATAATAGTTAAATTCTAGATAATGTAAATGGAATATGCTGAAAATTTCAGTCAAATTGCTCCACTCTGAACCGAGATATTAGCTTTTTGAATTTTTTCTAGCCTTAATCATCATTACTATAAGTCGCTATTATCCATTTTGACTTTAAATCATTCATCACAAAATGTATTCAAATCCAGTAAATATCACAGGCTAGCGATGGCATCCAAGAGTTGATTATGGCCAAGATAAGTTAATTATTACAACATTTGAGACCTAAAGAAAGACCTGCAATAGGCAGATTTAGCTCTTGCATAATGTATGTTTAAAGGAGCTAAATCACTAATATTTGGGAACCAGAAATGGACACAAATGGGTCGCAACGCATATAGTAATGTAATATGAATGTTTATAAACTGATTTACATTCAATCGTTTCTGTTTTTACTCTTAATTTCTAATCAGTTATGTCCGGCGAAATACACAATTTGAATGGCAGTCTATGGTGTGTGGGGTATTTTAGCTTAGTTCATCAAGTCGCTTTATTACAGTCGAAAGCATTCTGGCTCACAATTAAATGATACGTGAGTAGTAGAAAACGACAACAACTCTCATAAACGACAACAACTCTCTTATGTAGCTGAAGACTAGTAGTAGGAAGACATCTAAACAGGGATCTCAGTGATACACAAGGGGTTCAGGAAGAAGATGAAATGAGTAGAAAGGCAACCCCTATAACCAGGGAAGATAGACGAACGCCTAGGTGGTGATAAACTAATTTATTGTAGACGCTTCGGACTAAAGGTGTCCTTCCTCAGTAATGATTTGATGGAGCGCAGCATACAGTATTTATAGGAGAAGTTATTGTGACGTAATAAGAGCGTTTAGGATTGGTGGTGAGTAAATTGGAATAATCCTGATCAGCTAGGAATGATCACGATTATTTAAGATAGTTTGTTTAATTTTTTGGAGATAAGTGTGATACTAAATCTCTGTATTTTTATTGTAGGTACCTGTATCAGTACTTTATATACAACCAGAAACTAAATCTGTGTATTTAACTACACTACCTCATCTATTAAACTATAATGGTATAGTAACAGATACTATGTTAGATAAACTAGCTATAGGAGATATTATAGATAATGCTGTTGTATGTGAAGCTAATAAGAAAGGTGTTTATATCAAGTTACCTCATGCTCTCACTGGGCTAGCTCAGGTAATAATCTTTTTAATGTTTAATTAAAATGTAAAATCAAGATGCTACCTGTAATGTGTTGGTATTAATAATGTCTTCTATAACACAAGGAGTAGGGTCGCCTGTCCAACCTCATGGGTTTTCTCCAGGTTCTCCGGTTCCTCCCACTGCTAAAGACCCCTACGCGCAAGCGAATTATTGAAATAAAATTAAACCATATCTTAGTCCTGAAATGACCTAGTTTGTGTCAAGTGGACGTTAAACCCCATTTCTCTATAGAGAGACTACAACACTAGATAAGCCACGGTAGCTAAGTGGGTAAGACGCTGGCTCGCTAGCCTGGAGTTCGCGTGTTCGATCCCTACATTGGCCGAGAAAGTTCATCAGGATTTTCCGATGTGATTTAGTGGTGCAGGAAGGAGGGTCTGACATGGACAGCCACCTAGTCCTGTGTATACATTGGCATGCACTTAAAGATCCCTTGCCAGTTGGAATTCGATATAAGAGTAGGCTATAGTGCTACTGCCCGGGCAAAATTTCCCTCATAGCACACTGTATGGTGTATGCCCATCTTCATTAGCCCAGTTCGGAGCAGAACAGTAGGACGTTAAACCCCATTTCATTTCATAACTAACACATCTGGCCCGTCAGACTTGAGTTAAGAATTTACTCAACTTTCAATCACTGTTTATGAGTAATATCTTTGATCCAGAATCACGAAACTTTGCACATAGTTTCTTATTTTTGATTACTCATGTTGTTATAATCCATCTCCAACATCAAAAGATTTATTTTTTAATGTTTTTTGTAATTTTTGAACAATTTATATTTTACTTCCAGAAAGGGAATTTATCCGATTCAAAAGTTCAGAAAATAGAAGAAGAATTTCCAATTGGATCAAAACACAGGTTTGGTATTCATATTTGTTAAATGAATATTTCTGAATTTATCTTTGAAATTTTACGTCCAGCTTCACTTCAAGTAAACAAAATATAATAAACTATTTAAGGTATTGGGAACCGGAATGCTCAGATTAATTTCAAGCAAGATGATACTTAATGAGAGATCAACAGCCATAGCTATAAAAAAGTGTTCATTAAGCTAAATTCTAAAGAGCAAAGAGTAAACAAAGGGAGATTGGTTATTATCCCTGAATAATTTTTTTTTTTAAGAAGTATATATGTTTTATTTTCAGATGTCGAGTTGTTGGATTTAATTCTATAGATAATTTTGTTATGGTTTCAATGAAACAGTAAGTATATCAATATTATATATTACTTAATATTCATTATTCCATGTAAATTAAAACTTATGTAGTTTGATCTTTTTTTTTTTATCTCATGTTAAACATCTACTAATATTGACTCAGTGAAATCAATAATGTGGAAACATGCTGTCTGTATGCCTGTCTTAGTATCCCACCGTTTTCATTATTTCATATATAATTTAGTTTATTTTAGGAGTATTATAGACGTACCATTTCATATATAATCTATTTTAGGAGTATTATAGATGTACCATATCATTTTATATATAATCTATTTTAGGAGTATTATAGATGTACCATATCATTCCATATATAATTTATTTTAGGAGTATTATAGATGTACCATATCATTCCATATATAATTTATTTTAGGATTATTATAGATGTACCATATCATTCCATATATAATTTATTTTAGGAGTATTATAGATGTACCATATCATTCCATATATAATTTATTTTAGGAGTATTATAGATATACCATATCATTCCATATATAATCTATTTTAGGAGTATTATAGACGTACCATTTCATATATAATCTATTTTAGGAGTATTATAGATGTACCATATCATTCCATATATAATTTATTTTAGGAGTATTATAGATGTACCATATCATTCCATATATAATTTATTTTAGGAGTATTATAGATGTACCATATCATTCCATATATAATCTATTTTAGGATTATTCTAGATGTACAATATCATTTTATATATAATTTGTTTTATTTTAGGAGTATTATTGATGTACCATTTATTAAAATAAGAGATATAGTCCCCGGTTCCATTTATAAGGTAATATTTCTGTTAAACCGTGCAATATACAAACATTAAAAACATGCAATAATTATTTGATGAATATAATTATATATATTTCATTATTTACATTATTTCCGATATTATTTCATGATTTAAAGGGACAATAACACTCTTGCTGGCTTGACAGCTCCAGAAAATAAAAATAAAACTTATTCTAAGTACTAGATGTGTTAGTGTTGTACCTGTTGTGTAAATTATCCATTAAATCCTATTTTACTTGTCCAGAGGGTTCAAAATTATTTTTAAATCCAAGTCACATTTGAAAAGCTTTACGTCAGGCTTTTCAAATCATTTAGTTGAATTTTTCCAATTTTTTAAATTAGGTGTGTTAAGGTGAAATTTGTATCATCAATTAATTGGAATGTTGTAAAATAGTACAATTTGTTGGCCAGAATAAAGTTTGGGACATATTATTCAGTTACAACAAGAGTGGTATTGAGCCTTTAAGCGTATTTGAGCATTGTAATTCAACCAGGGAGCCTCGATGGTTCGCTCCCAGTGTTGGCCAATAAAGTTCCACAGTTTCACTTTGTCAGTGGGTGCAGAATAGAGGGTTTGGCGAGGACTGTGTCAAGTCATTTGGATTGGACGAAAAACCAATGATCTGTGTACACTTGGCTAAGTTGGTATGCGCTGGCTCTCTAGTCTGGAGGTCAGGTGTTCAATCCCTGCATTGGCTGAGAAAGTTCCTCTAGGTTTTGCTTTGTGGTTCCCCCCTGTCAGGGATGCAGGACAGAGGGCCTGACAAGGACAGCTGTCTAGTCATTCAGATGGGACGAAAACCGAGGTCCTGTGTACACATTGGCGTGCACGTAAAAGATCCCTTGGCAGTTGGAATTCGATATAAGAGTAGGCCATAGCGCTGCTGTCGGGCAACATTACCCTCATAGCACACTGTATGGTGTATGTCTTCATTAGCCCAGTTGGAGTAGAACAGTAGGACATTAAACTCCATTTCATTTCATTTTCATTTTATATAATATTATTTTTATTGTATGATTAGGTTGAGGTGAAGTTTGTTAAAGATACAGTATTAGTAGTTAAACTAGGTAATTTAAAGGGTCTGATACCTGCTCTACATATGGCTGATATTCCTTTAAAAAATCCCAGTAAAAAATTTACAGAAGGTGATGAGTTAGAATGCAGGGTGAGTAGAATAAGAAAGGTCTAGATTGTTAAAATCTGTTAAAGATGCATTATGTCAGATTTAGATAAAGAGCTGTCCATTCTTGCTATCATAATTGATACATAGTTCATGGAAAAATAAAATTCATTTAAATTACTTTAATCTGTGCAAAGTTATGAGTGTTTGAAGGTTTTACAAGATAGTCTTGTTTGTCAAGTACCATGGCTACAGTAATAAGCAAAGTCTCAATTGTCAATTTTATAAATTATGAAATAGCGAGAGGGTTCTAATCCATTCCAAATAGAAGTCATCCGATGGCCTAGAGTGTTGATCATGTGAATAAATGTCTAGATAATGATTTATATAACATTGGAAGCCAAAAGAAAATACCTGCATTAGGAAGATTTAGCTCTTACATAATGCATCTTTAACTGATCTTTTCAATTAAAATTATTGTTTAAGTATCTCTTTAATTATTTTCAATATTGGGAGCTGCAGTGGTTGAATGTGTTAAGTTGCTGGCTTAATTACCCGAGGGGGATCACGGTGGCTAAGTGGGTAAGACACTGGCTCGCTAATCTGGAGGTCAGGTGTTCCATCCCTGCATTGGCCGAGAAAGTTCATCCAGATATTCTGGTGTGGTTCCCCCTTGTCAGTGATGCAGGACGGAGGGCCTGACAAGGACAGCTGTCTAGTCCTTTGGATGATACGAAAAACCAAGGTCCCGTGTATACCTTTGAATGCACGTAAAAGATCCCTTGGCAGTTGGAATTCGATATAAGCGTAGGCTGTAGTGCCGCTGTCTGGGCAAAATTTTCCCTCATAGCACACTGTATGGCGTATGTCCGTCATCATTAGCCCAGTTCGGAGTAGAACAGTATGACGTTAAACCCTATTTCATTTCATTTACTAATAACCCGAGGGCCCGGGTTTAACCCCAGTGTTGGGCTATCAATAAGTAGCATCTAGTAACTACGATGCCATAAAAAAAAAAACAGGATTCTGTGTACACATTGGTGTGCATGATAAAAAACCGTTGACAGTTGGAATTCAAAATAAAAGTAGGCTGTATGCCACTGTCTTGGCACAATTTCACTCAAAGTACACCGCAGAAAAGTTGGGGCAGTAATTAGTAGTATGTTAATCCCTGTATCATATCATTTCATTTCTAAAAAGAATGTTTGAGTATATTTTTTTATTTTTCAGGTTTTATCAGTGGATATAAAGGATAATAAAGTTATATTAACGAACAAGAAATCTCTTGTCAATACTAAACTACCAACTATACACGATAATAGTCAGATACATAAACATCTAGAGATAGATGGATTTATAGCCATGATTAACAACAGAGGTGTACTGGTCGCATTCTATAATAATATCAAGGTAGGTTATAGATATGATTAATGATACAGGTAGGTTAATATCAAGGTAGGTTATAGGTGGGTTTATAACTATGATTAACAACAGAGGTGTACAGGTCGCATTCTATTATAATATTAAGGTAGGTTATAGACAGGTTTATAGCTATGATTGATAATACAGGTGTATTAGTCACATTCTATAATAATATTAAGGTAGGTTACAGGTACTGATAAACTGTCAAGTATAAAATGCCCTGGTACCTCGACATATTAAGAATCTCAGTAAAAACGCTGAAAATAGATAACTCTGTGGCAGGCAAAATGGCTGAATGTTTTGTCATTGTGTTTTACATTGTCTATGATAGTTCTTTATTTCTAAATTCGACTTAATTTGATGTGCTCATTTGTTTTGTGAAATGAAAATTTTTTTGATTTAAAAAAAAAAAGGTATTTGAGAAATATGAAGTTAACTCCATACAAAGACCAGACATTGTTGTTTTTTTATAAATTGATATTGTTATTTTATAGGGTTGGGTACCTCTCTCTGAACTTAGTGAAGAAAAGATTGAACAGCCTGAGAAGGTGTTTTATTTGGGTCAAGTTGTACGATGTCGAGTGAAGAATTATGATGAAGAAACTAATAAGATAGTTTTATCATTTAGAGTAAGTATTAACTGTATGAGTTAGTTCCTTGGTTACGGAGAAATGATTTACCTAAGTGGTTGTATATTTACCATGGCAACAATTTTTCTTCAACTGTTTGGAAAATATGGGGGTTGGATGGCTGAATGGTTAGCGCATGCACGTTGAATCATAATGTCTGTCATTGAGTCAACTCCTTGTACGTGGGTTTTCTCCAGAAACCTCTGGTTTCCTCCCACTACTTAAGACCCCTACACGCAAGCTAATTATTGAAATATAAATGAATCATGTTAGTCCCGAAATGACCTAGTTTGTGTCGAGTGGACGGTATCATTGCAGGTCCAGGATTGTACAGTGTATTCATCTCTTTAACAGACATTTCCCATCCCCTCTCAAATGGACAAAAAGCCTGTTTCAACGCTATAATCATAATGATATGCTCAACCGATGTCAAATATATTCTGTGTTTCAAATCTACTCTGCATTTTTCACACAGCCAATCACCACTAACGAAATATATATAGAGTTTTTGTTCCCCCCATTGAATCTTGTTCCGCATGCATAATCAAGCCTGGAAATAAGGCACCTGTCACTGACAATGTCAGGCACAGATTCAGGCTTTATCAGGCACTAAACCTCTGGTGCCTGTCATTTTGTCCGGCGCTGATTTATTGATATTATTAATGCATGTCCGGCACTAAGTTGGAAATGTCAGGTACTATTTCATTAGTGTCTGACATTTTGTCAGGTACATGTAAAACCGATATTTCCAGGCCTGTGCATAATCACTGGTTACCACGTCCCTGATTAAGATTGAACTGTTGTCTATGCATAATGTCCGTATAATATACTGTATAGTTGGTACAGAAAGGTCAGACATTAAACCTCATTTAATTCGTTTCTAAGATTTTACTAGAAGCTTACAGATTTACTGTTCACTTATTTCAGAAAGGTCCTCGACAAAAGGATCGAAAGTTAAAAGAGAGAGATACATCAGTACCTGATGATTTTGAAGCAGGAAAGGTAATTTACTATCAGACAATCAAATAGATTGCTGAAAGAACACTTATCCTCTTGTTTCTTGGAGATTTATAAACAAAATAGCCTAAGATAAAAGCTCTTTGATACAACTACGTCGCTGCAAAATCTTCGTCATAGAATCCTTCATTTCGTATACACCAATCTTCATTAAACCTGTTGATTGTGTCACAGTGGTTCAGTGAGTGACCCACTAACCAGGGGGTCCGGATTTTGATTCCAGTGTTGGTTGAGATAGTTCCCCTGAGACAGTGGGTGCAGGACTGGCAACCAGAATAGGACAGTGACAAAAAACCAAGCTCCCATGTACACATTAGCATGCAAGTAAAAAGAACCCATGATAGTTGGAATTTGTAATAATAAAGGCTGTATTCACTCATAGCACATTGTATGGGCATGCTCGCCTTCATTAGCCCAGTTGGAGCAAAACAGTAGGACGTTAAACCCCATTTCATTTCATTTCATTAACCCTGTTGATATAGAAAATTAGGACATAAAACACCATTTTATTCAGTTTGAGTAGTAGCTCTGTGTTTCGTATGGCAGTTAGATTCTTTTGTTTTTTTATGAACAATTTGTGATTTTTTTGTTTATAATCAACTTATTTTGTTTCTAATCAACTGATTTTGTTTCTAATCAACTGATTTTGTTCATAATCAACTTACTTTGTTTTTACTCAACGTATTTTGTTTTTTTAGATTGTTGAGTGTAAAATAAAGAGTAAAAGACAAGAGTTAATGATAGTATCTGACACATCAACCGGTAAAGACGCCATCTTGTATAAAGCTCATTTAGCCGATTTTGATGATTTGTGTGATGTATTATGGGAATCTTTACAAGAAGGAGATATCTTAGAGCGGGTTGTACATTTTAGATGTACCAATAAAATTGTATCCTTTTAGTTTTCATCTGTGGCCATTGCCCTGATAAGCTTTTGTTTCTAAATCCATCGAGTTCCTTACTGTTTCGCAGCCTATACACTGGGATCCTGTGACAGTTGTTGCCTGGATGTCTGAAACGCCTGGAGGTCGGGTGTTCGATCCCTGCATTGGCTGAGAAAGTTCATCCAGATTTTCCGTCGTGGTTCCCCCTCTTCAGTGATGCAGGACGGAGGGCCTGACAAGGACAGCTGTCTAGTCGGTCGGATGGGACGAAAAACCCAGTGTACACATTCATGGAGCGTTAAAGATCCCTTGACAGTAGGGTTCCCGCGGTCCTTGAAAATCCTTGAATATCCTTAAATTTAAAATTTCATTTTCAAGGTCTTGAATATCCTTGAATTTCGCAGAAATAGGAAAATATCCTTGAAATTCAGTTGAGATACTTAATTTTGTTTCAAATTGGTAATAATAGTAAGTTGATATGAAAATCCTGTTTAGATTAGAAGTTTTATAACGATAGTTGGTAAAGTTTTGGTTATTTTTAAGATGAAAAATTGTAACTTTAGGCTAAAAAATGGCCTTGAAAATCCTTGAATTTGACGTATATTTATCCTTGAATATCCTTGAAAAAATGTTTGACGAAGCCGCGGGAACCCTGCCTTGACAGTTGGAATTTGATATAAGAGTAGGCCATAGTGTCGCTGTCCAGGCAAAATTTCCCTCATAGCACACTGTATGGCGTATGCCCGTCTTCATTAGTCCAGTTTAGGAGCAGAACAGTAAGACGTTAAACCCCATTTCATTTTATTTCACTATCTGGTCGAACGACAACAGACAGTAAATAAACGATGGCTGTACCCTATAAAACTGAAGCTCATTTTGTGGGTAATAATAAACTGAACATTCATTTCCAGATTGTTTCTTCAACGCAGGGTATGCATGTTTTCTAGAATATCAGGTCCCAGTTTCACAAATCATTCTCAGACTTTTAAGTTAAGAATTTACTCAAAATTGTTTGCCTTATTGTAACTAAATATAGCTATTGATAACACTACTGTTAAAAATAAAAACACTTACATGGATATACTACTTCTGAAATTTATTAAAATGCTACGTCTCAATACACATACAGGTATCGTTATCAAGCGAATTGTTTTAACCTGTTACGTTTCAATACACATACAGGTATCGTTATCAAGCAAAAACTTATGTGTAGCATGTTAATAAAATTCAGAAGTTGTATATCCATATAAGTGTGTTTATTTTTAGTAAAATCTATTTCTATATGTTTTATAAGGATTAAAAGTTTTATTAAATCTTTAATAAGTCCTTGACCCTGTATTAGATTGTATCCATGAAACCATCTTTATTAAAACAGACAGAAAATGACATTATACCAACAGATTTTACAGAAATATCCGTAAGTTGAGAATTATACACTAGTCATTAATTATACAATAGTCAGTAATTGTAAAAGATGCCACTTCTCGTGTGAAAACCGGACTAATATACCATTTCTAATATCCACCACTACTGAATACACAAAACCCAACTAATAATGGTGTATATTTTTTATTAGTCAAGAAGCCACGGTGGCTAAGTGGGTAATACGCTGGCTCGCTAGCTTGTAGGTCACATGTTCGATCCCTGCTTTGGTTTAGAAAGTTCATCGCGATTTTCCGGCGTGAATCATAAGTGAATGATATTAAGATGACAGTGTGTATGAATATTTTACAGAAAGATATGATATTACCAGCTGTAGTCAAGAATATAGTAGAGTATGGAATATTCTTTACATTAACTGGTGGATTAGGTGGTCTCATTCCAATGAAGGTAAGTATGTAGATAATTTAGGCCTTAGGCCCATAACTTGTAAGAAATAAAGAAGCTTCAAATAGCAATCATAAAGACCCTTCATGCAATTCTTCAGATTTTTTTGCATTTCTACCCGTATCTGTATTTCTAATAATTAAAGATGCATTATGTAAGAGATAAATCAGCCTACTGAAGGTTTTTTTTTCTGGCTTCGAATGTTATATAAATTATTTAAACATTTGTTAAACATGATAAGCCCATAATTAACTCTCTATAACATCTGATGCCATTGAAGTGTTTAACGATAAAATAGATAATCAAGACTTCGTCTCGATCGTCAAGTACTGTAGCTACAATAATAAACAGTCCATGCTGCATACTTCAAAAACTCAGAACCTTGCATAGAATTAAGTAATTTGGATGAAATTTTCATTATATTCATTTTTCATTATCTATTTTTGAACTATTGTAGCAAGAATGTCCAGCTCTTTATCTAAATCTTTAGCAACACAGAAAAATAAGAGATTAAATAACATTGATCATATTACAACTTTACAGGGGGGTTGGATGGCTAAATGGTTAGCGTGCGCGCGCTGTATCATAAAGTCTGCCATTGAGTCGACTGGCGTGGTTTCAAATCCCCGGTTGTACGTGGCAAGGAGTAGGGTCGCCTGTCCAACCTCGTGGGTTTTCTCCGGGTCCTCCGGTTTCCTCCCACTGCTAAAGACCCCTATGCGCAAGCGAATTATTGAAATAAAATTAAACCATATGTTAGTCCCGAAATGACCTAGTTGTGTCGAGTGGACGTTAAACCCCATTTCTCTCTCTCTCTCTATTACAACTTTACAATGTTTGTACAATACATTTATATTTCTTACGAACGGATTAGCATTATTGTTTACTGACAGATCACTTGATACAAGGTTATGCTTAGTGCCCTGTCTTCATTAGCCCAGTAGGAGCAGAACAGTAGAAAGTTAAACACCATTTCATTTTGTGGTTTCGATTCCCCCAGTTGTACGTGACATGGAATAGGTTCGCCTATCCAACCTCGAGGGATTTCTCCGGGTCCTCCGGTTTTCTCCCACTGCTGAAGACCCCTATGCGCCAGTGAATTATTGAAATAAAATTGAACCATATGTTTGTCCCGAAATGACCTAGTTTATGTCGAGTGGCCTGAAGATCTGTTGGTGTATAATATTCACTGCCATAAGTCTTTGTTTCATGCACTGTGGTCTTAAAACAACCGCCATAATCCTCGACTTCCTCTAGTCTTGAGGGTTGGGGATCGAGAAGGGACTTATAAGTGGAGTAGCCTAGAGCCACTTTTTAAGTCTTCCACTGATAGAGATACACCACTTTGGCATGCCTATGGATGAAGGTCACAAAAATCATGATTTTGTATTGGTAATCTGTATTTGTTTATGAACAGGTAGCGTCAGATAATTATTTACCGTATGAAGAAATTACCAACTATATCCATGTTGGTCAGAGTATAGTAGTTAGAGTTACCTACCTTGATACAGATAAGAGAACATTTGTTGGGTCCATGTTAACCAGACATTGTTTTCCCCGATCATCAGATAAAGCAGCCATATTGATGAAATTATATTTAGAAAATAAAGAAATGGTTACTAAAGTATTGAGTGCTGGTCAATCTATGGGAGGTAATTGTCTTTTTTTTTCTTATATTGCAGGTCTTTCTTTAGGTTGCATTTAATGCACACATTTAATCAAACTTTCAAAAGCTACTATCTTTGCTCCCAGTAGAGTAATTTGAATGAAATTTTCAATATATTCATTTTTCATTGCAAGAATGACCAGCTCTTTATTTAAATCTTACGTAATGCATCTTTAAACCATCTCACAAAAATTGTGTTTGGTGCTGGTTCACTAATCAGGAGTTTCCCCGAGTTTAATCCCAATAGGGGCTTGGATGGCCGAATGGTAAGCACGTGCGCGCCTTATCATAAGGTCTCTCATTGAGTCAAGTGATGCGGTATTGATTCCCCGCTCATACGTGACAAGGAGTAGAGTCGCCTGTCCATATTCGTGGGTTTTCTCTGGTTCCTCTGGTTTCCTCCCACTGCGAAAGGACCCCTACGCACAAGTGATTTATTGAAATAAAATTGAACTTTATGTTAGTCCAGAAATGACCTAATTTGTGTCGAGTGGACGTTAAACCCAATTTTCTCTCTCTCACTTTTTCTACTTATTTCATTTAAAATATATCGTACAGATTTGAGTGTGTGGGGGGGAGCCACGGTGGCTAAGTGGGTAAGATACCGACTCGCTAGACGCTAGCCTGAAGGTGGCAGGTTTGATCGCTGCAGGCTCTCTCTCTCTCTCTCTCTCTCTCTCTCTCTCTATCTCATAGCCATCTCCCTGTTTCATATCCAAAAGGGAATTTGTTGTCTTTTGAGCATGTGATGTAACTAGAATCTATAATCGAGAAATGTATTGATATATTTTATAGGTTTATTATCTAAGATGAAACAGATACCAGTAGGATCAGTAGTAACAGCTGTAGTAACTGATATAACTACCGATGGTATATCATGTAATATGTCTAATGGTTTATCAGCTTTTATAAATCATCATATGTTATATGGTAAGTATATAAACTTTGGTCATTGCTTACATTTATAAATCATCATATATTATATGGTAAGTATATAAACTTTGGTCGTTGTTTAAAAAACTCTTAGATAGTAATTAAGTTCTATTCTCAGTGTGAGCCACGGTGGCTAGGTGGCTAAGACGCTGACTCACTAGCCTGGAGGTCGCGTGTTTGATCCCTGGATTTTCCTACATGGTTTCCGCTTGTCAGTGGTGCAGGACGGAGGGCCTGACAAGGACAGCTGTCTAGTCATTTGGATGAGACAAAAAAAAGGAAGCCCTGTGTATACATTGGCGTGCAATAAAAGAACCCTTGGATGTAGGAATTTAAAGTAAAGTACCGCATTGTGCTGCTATACAAGCAAAATTTTCCCTCATAGGTACAATGTATGCACTATAACATGGGTAGATGCAGAAAAGTTTGCCTTAAACCCTGTTGCATTCCATTTGAAATGACTGTGTTGTAAACTGATGAATGAGGTATGTTTATTTGATATGATTGTGTTGTAAACTGATGAATGAGGTATGTTTATTTGATATGATTGTGTTGTAAACTGATGAATGAGGTATGTTTATTTGAGATGATTGTGTTGTAAAATGATGTTTATTTATAGATATAAAACCAGTAGTAGGAGATAAAGTATTGGGTGTCGTATTATCTATAGATATGATAAAACAACGAATAGATCTCTCATTAGATCAATCTATAGTAGCAGCCATGAAAAACAGTGAAACCGAAGATCAAATTCAACAGGTACTGAACATTTATATTTTTGATAACCCATGAAAGATCATCAGGTACTGCCAGTTTTCTCCCACTGCCAAAGACCCCTATGCCCAAACGAATTATTGAAATAAAAAATTCAACCATATGTCAGTCCTGAAATGATATAGTTTGTGTCTAATGGACGTTAAACCCCATGTCTCTCTCTCTCACCAGGTACTGAACTTTTATTTACATCTGATAACACATGAAAGATCCGAGAGTTGGATGGGGGGGAGGGTGGGCGAATGGTTTAACACATGCACTTTAGATTATAAGTTCTGCCATTGAGTCATTTGGATGGGACGGAAAACTGAGTTCCGTCTACACCTGCATGTAGAAGATCCCTTGGCTGTTGACATTAGAAATAAGAGTAGGCCGTAGTGCCTCTGTCCGTTACAAATTTCCCTTATAGCACACTGTATGGTGTATATCGATCTTCATTAGCCCAGTCGGAGCAGAACAGTAGGATGTTAAACCCATTTCATTTCCTTCGGTTTTTACTTTATGCATATTAATGAATATAACCATTTCAACGAAGTGATTATGTGCATACTAATTCTAAATAATGTGATATATGTTTTCTTGTATCTCAGTTAAATGTTGATGAGAATATACCAGCTGAAGTTCTACAAGTTAATTCTAATTATTATATGGTATCTTTACGAGGTAAAGCTCTAGGTTCAATGGCATACGTTCCCACTAAACATGTAAGTATTTTAAATTAGATTAATAACTCACCTTTAGAGTTCAGTATATCTTAAATGAAAAGCAGGTATATACAGCTTCCTACTCGTATTACTTATCAATATATCTTGAAGGAAGGAATGGGGGGGGGTTGGATGGTCGAATGGTTAGCACGTGCACGCTGTATCATAAGGCCTGTCATTGAGTCAGCCGGCGTGGTTTCGATTCCCTGGTTGTACGTGACAAGGAGTAGGGTCGCCTGTCCAACCTTGTGGGTTTTCTCCGGGTCGTCCAGTTTCCTCCCACTGCTAAAGACCACTATGGGCAAGCGAATTATTGAAATAAAATTGAACCATATGTTAGTCCTAAAATGACCTAGTCTGTGTCGGGTGGACGTTAAACTCCATTTCTCTCTCTGAAGGAAAAGTGTCTAGTCATCTGGATGGTATGAAAAAAAAAACAAGCCCCCTTTTATACATTGGTATGCACGTAAAAGAACCCTTGAAGTTGAAATTTGATATAAGATTAGGTTGTAGTGCAGCTGTCCGGGCACAATCTGCCCCATAGCCCACTCTATGCTAGTCTTCATTAGTAGTCAATGTAGAACAGTATGGCGGTAAACCCCATTTCATTTATTGTCCCCCGCCTTTCGAAGAAAGCAGGGGACTATTAAAATGGGTTCGTCCGTCTGTCTGTCCGTCTGTCTGTCTGTCTGTCCGTCACACTTTTTGGGACACAATAACTCTCTTCCTAATTGAGCTAGAATGTTCAAACTTGGTGTATGTGTTTATTAGGTCAATGCCTTGATGGAGTTCGAAGATGAGCATTTTCCGCTTAGGGTAAGCAGAGATAAGCAATTTGATTGGTTGATGCTTTGGGACACGATAACTCTCTTCCTAATTGGGCTAGAATGTTCAAACTTGGTGTATGTGTTGATTAGGTCAATGCCTTGATGGAGTTCGAAGATGAGCATTTTCCGCTTAGGGTAAGCAGAGATAAGCAATTTGATTGGTTGATGCTTTGGGACACGATAACTTTTAATTGAGCTAGAATGTTCAAACTTGGTGTATGTGTTTATTAGGTCAATGCCTTGATGGAGTTCGAAGATGAGCATTTTCCGCTTAGGGTAAGCAGAGATAAGCAATTTGATTGGTTGATACTTTGGGGCACGATAACTCTCTTCCTAATTGAGCTAGAATGTTCAAACTTGGTGTATGTGTTGATTAGGTCCAATGCCTTGATGGAGTTCGAAGATGAGCATTTTCCGCTTAGGGTAAGCAGAGATAAGCAATTTGATTGGTTGATGCTTTGGGACACGATAACTTTAGTTCTAATTAAGTGAGATTGATGAAACTTGGTGTATAGTTTCATTACAGTAATACCTTGACTAAGTTTGATAATGAGCATTTTCTGCTCAGGGTAAGCAGAGCGATACGCAATTTGATTGGTCGAGACTTTGGAAAACAATAACTCTCCTACTTTGATTGTTAGACTATAAGTAAAGATATACTGTTTGATTGTTCAATACTTTGTAAAAGATAATTTGTGATAAATTTATATGTGTCCTCTAATTATTTTCCTATTTCGGCGGGGGACATCAGCCTCACTGTTGGCTTGTATCAGTTCATATATCAATGTTATGGTGAATGTTAAACTCCCATCTCCTGCCCATATGGAAGATACCAGGGGACTATTAAAAATGGGTTTATCTGTCGTCATTCATTTTGGACCATGATAACTCTACTTTTGTTTGAGGTGGAATATTCAAACTGGTTATTGGTTGTATACCTTGACTGTGTTGGATGATGAACAATTTCTGCTTAGGCTAAACAGAGATAAGCATTTTGATATGTCAATGTTTTGGGACACGATAACTTTTTATTTTCTGCTTAGTTGAATTAGTGTCATCTGTTTATTTTGAGATTGAGACAGGAGACTCAGGCTCACTATTGACTTGTTTATTTCTGGATGAGACAGGAGATATCAGACTCACTGTTGATTTGTTTATTTTCCAGACTATAAATTGTATAAATGAATTAGATTTATATCCAGTTAAACAGAATATTCATGTTAAAATACACAGGTACAGTAGTATATAATTATTTATATTAAAACAATATGAATAAATAATATATAAGATATTTGGTTTATTTAAAGGAGCTAAATCACTAATATTTGAGACTTAGAAATTGACACAAATGGGTCGCAATAACTATATTAATGTTATGTTTGGCGAAATACGCCACATGTCTCAATGGAATGGCTATCTCTAGCGTCTGGTTATTCCAGTCTACACCAAAAGTATTTATTGTGCATGCTCTCCAGATAAGAACATTATGAGCTAAATCTGCTTATTCCATGTCTTTCTTAGGCCTGAAATGTTATCTAAATTATTAATTAGACATTAATTAACTTATCCAGACCATAATCAACTCTGGATGTCATCGCTAGCCTACGATATTTACTGGATTAGAATCCGATCTGCTGTTCAACGCTCATTGATGATTAAATCCAAAAATTGATAATCTTGACTATGTTTCTTATCGTACCAACGTCAGTAATGATGGTCGAGGCTAGGCCTAAAATTCAAAAGCTAATATCTGGGTTCAGTGTGGAGCAATTTGATTGAAATTTTGAGCATATTCCATTTACATTATTTAGTTATTAACTTCCAGCTCTTTATCTAATCTTCCATAGTGCCCCTTCAAGCACGAAAGTGGGAAATCTGATTGAAATAATATATTTCAGTTTAATATAATCAGTGACCCAAGCTTTAATGCATTAATATAGAAATTCTGACTGAAATAATTAATTCTAATATATTCTAATTTCAGTGTATATAATGAAAATTTGATAGCTTTGACACATTTACATCAAATCAAATCATCAACACCAAGTAAAAGTAAAGATAAAAAGAATAAATTATATTTATCTATTGGTGGTGTTTATAAAGCGAAAGTAAAACAGATACATCCTACTATCATGTATCTAGATATAGAAGGAAAACCTGGTCGAGTTCACTGTACAAATATGGTGGATACTATACAAGATGTAAGTACTCATTTTTACAATATGATTAAAACACAGATCCTATTTCGTTTCGTTTTTATAGTTCAAAATTTCTTTACTACACTAGGATCTTGAAGAGTTATCATTTATGTGTTCTGAATGATGTGAGGGAATAACCAATGAAACGGTCTGTTACAGCGAGCTTTAGGCGTATTTTGCACAGAACTGTGGGTAATCCACTAGTAACATCAATGCTGATTGGTTAATCAAATGTCTGACGTCATAGGGTCAAAAGCCACTCATATGACCTCTGACGCGACCTATAGCTACAACTGGTCAGATCTTCATGCCGTGTAGGCCATCGAAAGTATAAAAAAAAGAAACGAAATATAGATCTGTATTTTAATCAGATTGTCATTTTTAAAGCCATTGACCGACATTTGAGGGAATGGTAAACTACAATATTTCGGAAGTTGGTTCTTTAAAATTACCAGTGATTCAGTATTTACTAAGGTAGTGTGATGATATAAACCAGAGAATGCCATATATAAATGTTTGGTAAATCTTTAAGATGCTGGTCAACATCAGAGGGAATGTTTTGGAAGTCAGTTCTTTAAAATGATTGCTAGTCCAAAAATGGTTTGATTCTGTTTAGTATATACTAAGTTAATCAGTTGATATAAACAGTTTATCAGATATAAACAAGTTAATCAGATGATATAAACAAGTTAATCAGATGATATATAAACAAGTTAATCAGATGATATATAAACAAGTTAATCAGATGATATAAACAAGTTAATCAGATGATATAAATAAGAGAGTGCCATATATAAGTTAATCAGTTGATATAAAAAAGTTAATCTGATGATATAAACAAGAGAGTGTCATATATAAGTTAATCAGATGATATAAATAATTTGAAAGTACCAGTAAGCATAATCCTAGGGGTTGATAATGGCCACTATGGCCACTGGAATATTTTCTTTATTGCTGATTATAGAGTAATATTATTGATATTTCAGGGTCACCATCCATTCAGTAATTATTAAGATGGAAGGTTTTTTTATTGTCGAGTAATATTATTGATATTTCTAAAGATGGAAGTTTTTGATTTTAGAGTAATATTATTGATATTTCAGGGCCATCATCCGTTCAGTGATTATCAAGTTGGAAAAGAAATAATGGTGAGAATAACAGGACATTCTAAGATGTAAGTAAAATTTTAGTAAACTTAAAAAAATTATGAATTGTTTAGAAAGTTCCTTGTAATTGGTGCAGGATGGAGGGTATGGCAACAGTGTCTAGTCATATGGATGGGATGACAAACCAAGGTATTTGGGACAATGTACAGTCGTTCGGATGGGACGAAAAACCAAAGTCCTGTGTACACATTGACGTGGACATAAAAGAACCCTTGACAGTTGGAATTTCGCAGGCTAAATTATCAGATGATTTTGTATATTCTTTTATGTTTTTTTAATTCCTTTTAGGCCCAAAAAAGAAGAGAAAGTGGCGGAATGTACTGCTAGACCCAGGTAATAATCTTAATAAAAATTGATTTAAATCGTTTTGTAGCCAAGGCCCAAACTATAATAGACTTAGAGGGCATTTAATTTGACTTAAAGGAGCTAAATCTCTAACATTTGGGACCTAGAAATTGACAAAAGTGGGTCGCAACTCATATAATACTGTAATATGAATGTATATAAACTGATTTTCATTCAATGGTTTCCGTTTTTACTCCTATTTCAAATCAGTTATGTTCGGCGAAATAAGCCAGCAGTCTCAAGCGAGTGCAAATTTCTAGCGTCTGGTTATTCCAGTCTACATACGCCGTTTGATTTGGTGCAATGTGTCTAGCCTTGTCCCTCGAGTCTCTTGATACAACTGGGGCTGAAGCGCATTATGGTACAAGATTCGTGTACCAATGGTAAAATGTTTATTTTGTCTTAAATATTGGATATCAAAAGCCCATCTTTTGCCGGTAAGATCACAACATGAATGTTGATTTAATTTGACAAATAAATCGTGTTTTCAATGTTGAAGATTTTGGATGATATTGAGTTAGAGACTTAGCTACTTTAAGGCAATATCCTAGGCTTAGGTACATTTTTCAGTTATATTCAGATCCTTGGATCCCCTGGGGTGTTACAAAGTTACATGTGGGTAAAGCAGAAAAACAACCATTCTCCATGTTAGAATTCCAATCTCTTTCTTTATTACTCAAAAAGGCAGAAGAACTACAACATAAGGGAGACAACTTGTGTCGACTTAAATATAAGGGTTCAGACCACAATGATCCAGAATATATCACAATATTATGACATGTATGACATATCAATCCTTATATTTATAATTTTATTTTCAGTCAATTAAAGGGCAGGTTAGAGAAATCTAGTAGAAGTTTTCCATTAAAGAGTAATAGAAGAGTATTTATCGATAAGGTATTTATAATATGTACACCTTTATATTCTAAGAACTAAGAAAATCTAACCTCTGCGCTAAAAACTTCTATTGAGGGCAAGAGGCAAACTGGGCCTTGGGCCTCTTAAATAAATTAAAATTTATCTTTGCATCCGAGGACAAAAAATGATCTATGCGTTAGCTGTGGAAAAGGTGAATCAAGTTGGTTTTCTTTTCTTGTCATGTCACGTATTCTTCACCACGATAGGGGCCCAAGGATACCAGTTGGTCCGAGGGCCCAGAGCTACCCAGTCCATCCCTGTTTAGGGCAGGCTTTAAGCCAATGGCTCCCAAATGGGTTTGTGCCAAGTTGTTTCCCGTAATCTACTCTAATCTTGTCATATGAAAATGTTCCGTGTACACATTGGCGTGCCAATAAAAAATCCCTTGGCAGTTGGAATTTGATATAAGAGTAGGCCATTGTGCCGCTGACCGGGCAAAATTTCCCTCATTGCACACTGTATGGCATATGCCCGTCTTCATTAGCCCGGTTAAACCTCATTTCATTTTTGTTTCATTTTTCAATTCTGTTATATTTATCCTGTTTGTTTCTCCTTCAGATTGATAAAGAAAATGTTTTAGTTGACATAACTTCACAAAGGACAGGAATAACTTCTATATTTGATTTATCAGATGATTTAATGGTAAGTGATCAAACGACTCGTACTCATTGGACATCTGATCTTTTATCATCTTCAGATCAGCTCATGTAGATCGTTATTGGCATATTGTGGTATATTCTATATCATTGTGGTCTGAAACCTTATGCTTAAGTTGACACTAGTTGTCTCCCTTAGGTTATCGTTCTTCTGCCTTTTTGAGAAAAGAAAGAAAGAGATTGGAATTCTAACATGGAGAATGGTTGTTTTTCTGTTTCACCCAGATATAACTGTGTAACGCCCCAGGGGATCCAAGGATATAACATATAATATTATCAAGCATGTAATTTTGTATGATTGAAAATGACTAGTGAAACCTTGTAGGCTACTCTCTTATACACTGCTGTCATATTAATATTTCCCTTTAATTGCCGTAAAATAGCCCAAATATCGATTACAACTTCATGCATGACATTCCATTTTGCTTCTGTGGAAACTGAACGTAAAACATTAGAAAATTACAGAGTCTTGTTAGAATAGCCCAAATTTCACCTGATTAGAACACCATTACTAACAGTTCATTTTGTTTCTGTGGAAACTGAAAGTAACACATTAGAATTACAGTCTTGTTAGAATACCATTAATGACATTTCCATTTCACTTCTGTGGAATCTGAAGGATCCATTAGAAGATTACACTCTCTTGTTAATTTGTTTTGCAGATATTAGAAAACCTGAAAAGCCATTTTAAGAAAGGTCAAGGTTATAATGGGGAGGTAATTGGTTGTCGAGGAAGATCGAAAATAGTCTTTACATTTACAGGTACATATACTCCATTTCTTCTTTACTGAATTAAAAAGTTACAATTTCTTTTCAATATTATCCTATATTAGAGTTATTTTCAAGTTGGTAATGTTTCGGACGTTCCAGGGAGGAATGGTTTTGATTCCCCGCTTGTATGTGACAAGGAGTGGGGTCACCTGTCCATTGTTGTGGGTTTTCTCTGGGTTCTTCGTTTTCTTCCTGCAGCTGAATTAAGACCCCTCCGTGCAAACAAATTATTGAAATAAAATTGCACAGTATGACCTAGTTTGTGTCGTGTGAACATTAAGCCCCACTTCTCTCTCTCTGCTATGAGAGGGATTGGGTGCCTGAATGGTTAATACATGCACATTAGATCATAAGGTCTGTCATTAAATCTAGGGTCGTCTGTCCAACCTCGTGGGTTTTCTCCGGGTCCGGCGGGTCCTCCGGTTTCCTCCCACTGCTAAAGACCCCATTGCGCAAGTGAATTATTGAAATAAAATTAAACCATATGTTAGTCCAGAAATGACGTACCGGTAGTTTGTGTCGAGTGGAGTTAAACCCCATCTCTCTCTCTCTCTCTCTCTCTCTCTCTCTCTCTCTCTCTCTCTCTCTCATTGAATCAAGCGGCTGATTTTGATTTCACAATTGTATGTGGGGTCACCTGTCCAGTGTCGTGAGTTTTCTCTGTGTCCTCCTGTTTCTTCCTGCAGCTGAAGACCCCTAATTCGAAGACAATTATTGAAATAAAATTGAACCATATGTTAGTCCCGACATGACCTAGTTTGTGTCGAATGGACGTTAAACCTCATCTCTCTCTACTATGATTATTCTTTTGAATGAATTTTTTTTATTCTTCAGGTCGAAGAGAAAAGGCATCTGAAGGAGAAACAACAAAATGTTATATAACTGATATTGATTCAGAATCTAAAGAGTTAAAATTATCGTTACCAGCACGTCATACGGCTGTCGTTAAACTTTCTACTGATATAAAAAAATATCATAAAGGACAGTGGTTGTGGTGTCAAGTTACATCGGTTGATGATACGGAAAAAAAATGTTCTGTTACTCTCAAAAAATCACGTGGATGGAAAACAGATAAATAATAACGTGGATATAAATATACAAATTGCAGGTTGGTCCGTGGATACTTACCACTTCATCATGTGGAAGGAAAACATAAAAAATAATATCTATATTTAATATATCAGTGGTCCGTTGATACCACTTCATTTAATGGTTAACTGATGGAGAATATTGGATGGCTGAAGGTCAGCGTGTGAGCATTGTATCATAAGGTCTGTCATTGAGTCAACTGCCGTGGTTTTGATTCCCCACTTGTACGTGACAAGGAGTAGGGTCACCTGTTCAACCTCGTGGGTTTTCTTCAGGTCCTTCGGTTTCCTCCCATTGCTAATGACCCCTACACACTAGTGAATTATTGAAATAAAATTGAACCATAGGTTAGTCCCGAAATGACCTAGTTTGTGTCAAGTGGACGTTAAACCCCATTTCTCTCTCATATGATAAAATTTATGTACAATTATTGTCTTTTACTCTTGTTCATGTCTCCTAGTTTCATGTTATAACTGATTAAACATTTTATTGTAGAAATAAAGTATACGACGAATAAAAAAATTTCATTAAATAGATTGTATATATATTATTATGATTGCCATCACTTATTTGTTACATGAAGTATGAAATAAAGTGCTGGTATAGACCTTTTCATCTTTTATTCACAATTTGTAAGGTCACATGTTCATGAAGTATGAAATAAAGTGCTGGTATAGACCTTTTCATCTTTTATTCACAATTTGTAAGGTCACATGTTCAAATCATGATGCTGACGATCAGGGGCTAAGTGAGAGGGACGCAATGACGCACTTTGCCTCATGGTTGTAAGTTTGTGCACCTCCTTGAGTTTTTGCACCCCCTTGCAAATGGCAAAAAAATGCTCGATAATTAGAAGGTCTAATGTTTGCTTCCTGTGTTGGTCAAGAAATTTCCTCAAGATGTTCTGGTGTGGTTTCCCACTTGTCAGATACATGTCTAGATACATGTACTTGTACTGTGTTGAGGTCCTGTGCACACAATGGCATGCACGTTAAAGAACCAGTGACAGTCCAAATTTAAAATACGTGAAGGCCTTAGTGCCCCTATCTAGGCAAAAATTTTGTCATAGCATGCTGTATGGCAGGGGAAGAACGATCTAAGTCATATTTTTGTCTTTCGTCATAAAAGGCAAAACAGACTTTTGGACGGGAATGCTTGATGCAAACAGAACAACGAGTGGATTTTATTACAACTTCAAAATGATGTTTAATACAAATCATAATTACCAGTACAACAACTGACTTCCACTTTTCAGCCAAATTAAGGTCAAATAAATATGATGGTCTTGTATTTGTCCAGGAGGCTCTGTCAGAAGGGCCTTGGTTCGATGTGACTCTGATCGTTTTTACCTGAAATTGATTGTTCCACAGAAACCTTATACAATTTGCTACCAGATGGCGCCATTAACTGGGGTTCGTTCAAAAAGTGACTTAGATCGTTCTTCCCTGGGGCTCTTCATATGTCAGTTTTTATTAATATGGCAGCTGGTCAATATTCCAATACCGTAACTTATAAATTAATGGGTCTTGCTGTCAAGACAAAACAGGAAAAATGTGATTGCATATAATTGATACTAGGGGCCTACAGTTTCCTAATCTGAAGTGATAGCAAATTGTGGAAGATTCGTGATCAAATTGGGTGATTTTCAGCAATAATGTATTATTTGGCTAGGTTGATTTCTGCCAGGGTTTCAATTTTTTATCCCAAAAACGAAAATCTATCTTAATAAGGGTGATACATGAAAACTACTGCTGTTAAATTTAGAAAATATTTGCCATTATTTTATTATCTCCCTTTGTCACAATATTCAGATTCAGAATGCATTTAACAAAAAGAAAATTAAATAAATATCTAGGAATATTCACAGAAAACATCTATGTTCCTTTTGAAAAATTCGCAACTGCCTTATGTCTTATGAAAAATTTTGGATGTAATTAATAATCTTGAAAAGATTTGCGCAGACACGAAATGGGCTCTGAATTTTATAGGGTGTGTTAATTGTAAAAGACACCGCTAGGACCAAAGATAACTTCATTGCAAAAGATATCCAATATGGCTGCGCCCATGAAGCATGGTTAAAATCTATTTAGAAGGTAAACACACATAAAATTAAAATAACACAAGTCTGTTTATAAATTTCATATGCATCAACAATACTTAGATAAAATTTTGGATGTAATTAATAATCTTGAAAAGATTTGCGCAGACACGAAATGGGCTCTGAATTTTATAGGGTGTGTTAATTGTAAAAGACACCGCTAGGACCAAAGATAACTTCATTGCAAAAGATATCCAATATGGCTGCGCCCATGAAGCATGGTTAAAATCTATTTAGAAGGTAAACACACATAAAATTAAAATAACACAAGTCTGTTTATAAATTTCATATGCATCAACAATACTTAGATAACAAGAGTGGCAAGAATTCATTCAAATACAGTCCGTTTATTAATTAAAGCCTTCTATAAAATGATTTTCAGTGTCACAACCTGTTACCTGGTGCCAAACTCCTTCATTATTATGCTAGAATCAGTGGCGGCGCCAAGGGTTTTTTTTGTTGGGGCTGGGGGAGGGCTGTAAAGTGGGCATTTGCCCTCCCATAAATCTGGTCTGCCCTCAGTTTGTCCCCAATAAGTTTTACGGTGATTAAATCCCACATTCCCACTCAGTCATATACTTGCGTGTTGTCGAGAGTCCGAGTGATTTCTTACCACTGATGGCTAGCATAGATTTTAGAGTCCCGTAAAGATAAAATATATATGAATAGTTATATCACATGTCACCATCATACAAGCCATACCATACCTTAGTTTCCTGATTCTGAGTAATAGTAATTATGTGTCAAAGCATTAAAGAATCCACATGTTTTTGCTGCTACTAGGCTAGCGTTTCGAAATCACTAACTTCAACATGACCAACATTGCATAGCCTTGCTGGATAACTATGTGTACGTTGGAGTGACCCCTCTGATTAGGATTTATTTCACCTTTTTATAATGGTATTCGCAAACTGATCGCATGGACTTTCATGTTACATTGATGACAAAATCCACCACCCAGTTTTGGCGACCAAATACAGTACATTTATATGTACCAGCAGGCCTTCTAAAATTATTTCTTGTGAATTGTGACAAGAGTGCTGGTGCTTTAATATGTGGCCCAAAACTATTTGGGTTAGGTCCACCTGTAGTATAGCTATTTTAGAACTTACACACAGTAGAAATATAATCTTACTTTTATGTACATGACATCTTTTTTTATAATTGCTTTTTCAGAATTGAAGACATATTTTGAAAAATATGACAAAAAATAAAACTAATAATAAACAGAAGGTAAAAGGAAATCATTTGAAATCTGAACAGAAAGAAAGCAAAAAAGAAAGCTTGGGGAAACCATTAAAAGCAAAAAAGAAAAAGAACAAAAAATTGAAAACAGAAATGGTGGAAAGCAAAAGTTTATTTCCTCGTCTCGCACATACAAAACTAAAAGACAAAGATACGCTGATAAAAGAAAGTAAAACGAAAAAACAAAAGAATGACAAATCAGAATTGACACCTGTGCGGAATGAGAAACAAACTCAAAGTGATAAAAGTGTGTTTGAAAAGAAAACAAAACACAAATTGAACGATACAGAAGAAAGTGATAATAGTGAGGGGGTTATATTACCGAAAAAATTTAAACTTGAAAAGAAAACTTTAAAAAAAGAAAAGAACAGAAAACAATTTAAAAAGAAAAGACAAGAATCCGCTAGCAATCAAGGTAGACCATTTCCAAGTACAGGTACTCATACATCACCATCTGTTAGTCATCAAACATCTTCTATAAAACAGGTAAGTCTTAAAGGGGCATTAGGTAAGATTAAATAAAGAGCTGATGTGACGGAAGGAATACGGGGGTTGCCGTTTTTGCGTTTACAGTTAAAGGGAGATGTAACAACTGTTTTGACACCACTCCTGGTTACGTTATAAAACCGGAAATGATGTCAACCACATCAAATCAAACCCCGCAATAAAGTGTGTATTCCTATTCCTAAACGATGTTATTTTTTATCTCCACAGGTTAACCCCATGATTGGAGTACCGACAGTATGATGTACATATGTTTGTACCCTTGCTAACCTACCTATGCCAGTTCCCCTAGACCAGTACTTGCCCAGTGCATAGTGTAGTGTAACACTGACAGTTCGCGCTATAATTTGTTAAGAAATAGATAATGAAAGCAGAATATGCTGAAAATTTCATTCAAATTGCTTCACTCTGAACCGAGATATTAGCGATTCAATTTAATGCTAGCCTCGATCGTCATTACTACCATTGGTATGATAATAAACAAAGTCTTGATTACTCAATTATCCATTTTTACGTTAACTTATCTATCACAAAACGTATTCATATTCCACTAAATATTGCAGATAAACGATGGCATCGAGACTTGATTATGGTCTTGATCAGTTAATTAATGTCTAATTAATAATTAAGATAATATTTAAGGCCTAAAGAAAGACCTGAAATGGGCAGATTTAGCTCATGCATAATGTTTATAACTGAGGCAAAATATTGTACATTTATCAAATAGAAAATGTTTATACATATACTTTTATATGTGAGCTCTGTGGCATTATTGATAAAGATCCCCAGTTGTATGTGACATGGAGGAGGATCTCCTCTCCAGCATCCTGGGTTTTCTCGGGTCCTTCGGTTACCTCAGCTTGCTAAAGACCCATAAACACACAAGCGAATTATTGAAATAAAATTGAAACATATGTTAGTTCCGAAATGACCTAGTTTGTGTCGAGTGGAGGTTAAACCCCCCCTCTCTCTCTCTCTTTCTCTCTCTCTCTCTCTCTCTCTCTCTGGTCATATCCACGGTGTACCTTTCAGGACAATGGCTCATTGTTATGAGATTTCATGTAGAGTAATTTATTGTATTTACAGGATGTGGCTAGATTAAAAGTATCAACAGGTTTTAATTGGGATAATCAGTTTACCCTACCAACAAGTAAAACTATAGAAGATAGTAGCAGTGATGAATCTGATGATGAACAGGAGAAGGTATTGTCTTCTATGTATATATATTGGTGGTGGGGGGGGGTACTGCTAGGGTTGGGCGATATACCCATTTTTCGGTATATTATGATAAAATCATCAGCGATTTTTCATATCAAGAAACCGGTGTATCGTGATAGCCAAAATAGCCAAAATTGTAGCGGTAGGATTATCATGTCCCAATATGCTATATCCTTTGACAGTTTGAAATAAGAGTAGACTGTAGTGCCACTGTCCAGGCAACATTTCCCTTTTAGCACACTGCATGGCGTATGCCCGACTTCATTAGCTGATTAAACCCCAATTCATTTTATTTTGAGATGTTAAACTCCTTTCCTGTCCAGTTTAAATATTTTCTGGCGTGGTTCCCCCTTGTCAGTGGTACATAAAAGAGGGCCTGGCAAGGGACAACATATAGTCGTTCGGATGGGATGGAAAAAACTAGGTCCCGTGTACACATTGGGGTACACATAAAAGATCCCTCAGCAGATGGAATTCGATATAGGAGTAGACCGTAGTGCCGCTCTCTAGGCAAAATTTCCCTAATAGCACACTGTATCGTGTATGCCCGTCATTAGCCCAGTCAGAGCAGAACAGTAGGAAATTTAAATATATTCTGTGTAAGTATATTTTCTGAAATCCATATATAATTCCATGATTTATTTATAGAATGGCTATACTTATAACTTGTCTACGATATCACCAATGGTGGAAATGGATGTAAAACTCTAGGAACAAATGAACGATCATATATGGATTTCAGAAAATATACTTACACAGAATATATTTAAATTGGAAATGAAATGAAAAGGGTTTTATAGGATAGCTACATGTATAGTTATAGGGCTAGATGGATGTTAAAATTTAGTTGAAACTGTATTATTCATATTTTTGCAATATCGTACAGCCCAATCCATATATAATGTCATTATTTATTTCTAGAATGGCTATACTTATAACTTATAGGGCTAGATGGATGTTAAAATCTATGGAGCCTTTGTTTTATTATTATTCATATTTTTTTTTCAGAAAGTAGAAAAGACAAGAAATGAAATAAGGTTAGAAAAAAAAGCAGAGGAGAAGAAAATTTATGAGGTAATGAATTATTTTTATGTTAAATAATAATTCAAATATTTACACCGTAATTTAAAATGATGTCAATCTGTTTCACAGACGATTGTGAAAAGTCTTCTTATAGCTCTGTAAAAGATGATCGCCTTCAACATATGACGTCACATCACGGGGCGTCAATCATTGGCTCAATAGTGTGTGTATTGTTTACATAAGACGTTCTAGTTCGGGCAGAATGGCACCTTTTATTCGTTTTACATACCGATTTACACTAAAATAGGAAATAATTTTTACCTACAAATACTTCAAACGTCTTTATTTATTTTTCTAGTATAAAAAAAAATGTTTTATAATTTAATTTGTCTGATCAAAAAAGTTAATATTTATATGGTTTTCATATTTTTTTTTCTAAAATTAGGTTGAAAAAAGACGTTTAGAAGGTGATGATGAACCACAAACAGCTGATGATTTTGATCGTTTAGTTCTACAATCACCTGATAGTTCGTTAGTATGGACACGTTATATGGCGTATCATCTAGAATGTACAGAAATAGATAAAGCTAGGGCTGTAGCAGAACGAGCTCTTAAAACAATCAGTTTCAGGTGAGCTCTTTGTACCGTTGAATACAGATTAAACATCCATAAGTGTACAAATGTGTTGTTATTGATGTGTTCCCATTTGAATATTGTTCACAATAAGAAGCAAAATAAATAAGATATTTTTACAGGATCATTTTGTTATACGAAAAACTAAGTGATGCTTTTTCCATGGCGCTCAGTATATAACACTGGCTAGCCAATGAAACAGTCTGTTACGGCAAGTTTTTGGCGTGCGGAACTGTGGGTAAACCACTAGAAACGTCAACGCTGATTTTACTTGTCTTTACTGCACTAGGATCTGGAAGAGTTGTTATATAACCTGCATTCTGGATGATGTGAGGGATTAGCCAATGAAACGGTCTGTTTGTACAGTCTTTGATGCGACTTTCCACTACATCCAGTCAGATCTTCAGATCTTTCAAGGCCATCAAAAGTATGAAAAATAACGAAACGAAATATAGATTTGTATTTAAAACGAATCGAAATATAGTTCTGTATTTTAATCATATTGAGCATATTTTTAACATGTGTTTATATTTCAGAGATGAACAAGAGAAGTTGAATATTTGGGTAGCGTATTTAAATCTAGAAAATATGTATGGTACGTCAGATCAATTAGAAGAATTATTTGAAAGAGCTAAAACAAACTGTGATTCCAAGAAAATACATCAGAGGATGATCAGTGTTTATGTTAGGTCGGAAAAATATGAGGTATGTTGTAAATCTCTTTTGTCCTTGAAATGAAATGGGGTTTAACGTCCTACTGTTCTGCTCCAACTGGGGTAATGAAGATGGGCATACGCCATACAGTGTGCTATGAGGCGAAATTTTGGCCTACTCTGATATTGAATTCCAACTGCCAGGGGATCTTTTACGTGCTCACCAATGTGTACACAGGACCTTGGTTTTTCGTTCCATCCGAACAACTAGATAGCTGTCCTTGTCAGGCCCTCCGTCTTGTACCACTGACAAGGAGAAACCACGCCGGAAAATCCCGATGAACCTTCTCTGCCAATGCAGGGATCGAACACATGACCTCCAGGCCAGCGAGCCATTGTCTTACCCACTTACCCACCGTGGTTCCCTGTTTTGTCCTAGAAGCATTGAACGTGTCTTTACTTTTTACCCTATGACGTCAGACATTTAATTAACCAATCAGCATTGCTGTTTATAGAGGGTTACCCATACTTCTATGTAACTCACACCAAAAACTTGCCATAACAGAACGTTTCATTGGCTAATCCCTCACAGACCGTGTCATTGGCTAATCCCTCACTTTAACCAGAATGCCGGTAATATAACAATTCTTCAAGAGCATAGTGTAGTAAAGACAAGTAAAACAAAATTTTGAACTGTTAAAACACAAAACGAAATAGGATCTGTATTTTAATCCGCTAAATGAAGCGGGGGTACGGCCAATTCCATTTTTCAATGGTAAACACAATATGTTATGCATATGTTTTAAACGAGCTAAATCGCTAATATTTGTGACCTAGAAATTGACATAATTGGGTCGCAACGCATATAATAATGTAATATGAATGGAAATAAACTGATTTACATTCAATCGTTTCCGTTTTTACTCTAATTTCAAAGCACTTATGTTCGGCGAAATACGCCAGAAGTCTCAATTGAATGACAGTCTTTAGCATCTGGTTATTCCAGTCTACACCGAGGATATTTATTATGCATGCTCTCCAGATAAGAATATGGCGTCACCATTTGGCATGACTTGTGGAATATGTTTAGCCCTGTTCTTTGTGTCCCTGGTTCCAAATGGTGCTGAAGCGCATTATGGTGCACGATTTGTGTACCGATGGTAAAATGTTTATTTTGTCTTGAATATTGGATATCAGAAGCCTATCTCTTCCCTGTAAGGTCACAAGACCAATATTGATTTGAATTGACAAATAATTTGTGTTTTCAATGTCGAAGATTTTTGATGATATTGAGTTAGAGACTTAGCTACTTTAATAATTAAGTAGTAATCTGTATTAGCTTAATCTGTATTAGCTTGATAACGTTGAGAAAATACTCTCTGAAACATTGTCTTAAAATACACTAGTATTAGCTTGATAACATTGAGAAAATACTCTCTGAAACATTGTCTTAAAATACACCAGTAGCTGTTTTCCATAAGTATGTGTTTTTGTTGTTAATCATTAAGTACTTGATATTATCCAGTTGGAATTAACAAGTTGTACCTGTTCCACACAGCAACAATAAGAGTTAGTTCCCCTTAAACTTACACCAAGGGGATACTGGATTGAACGTTCCAGAATTGAATTATCCCAATCCTGAAAATAGTGTCAGTCGAGTGAAATTAAGAAATTATCTCAACCAACCAGGACAGCGGTGCTTAGTTACCTCACGATTCTACTCACACCACCTCCCTTGTCGAAACTGACAAAACTGTGACAGTATAATGAATGGAAGGGCAGCAATATTTTTGGCTAAAACAGTTTTTGGAAAGGGAAAGCAATGGAAGCTAACATCTTGTCAACATTAGACCAGTCGGTTCAGTAACATTAAAGGAAATGAAATGAAATGAAATGGGGTTTAACGTCCTACTGTTCTGCTCCTATACTGGGCTAATGAAGACGGGCATACGCCATACAGTGTGCTATGAGGGAAATTTTGCCCGATCAGCGGCACTATCGCCTACTCTTATATCGAATTCCAACTGCCAAGGGATCTTTTACGTGCATTCCAATGTATACACGGGACCTCAGTTTTTCGTCTCATCCAAAGGACTAGACAGCTGTCCTTGTCAGGCCCTCCGTTCTGCACCACTGACAAGGGGAAACCATGTCGGAAAATCTGGATGAACTTTCTCGGCCAATGCAAGGATCGAACACCCGACCTCCAGGCTAGCGAGCCAGCGTCTTAACCACCTGGCCACCGTGGCTCCCAACATTAAAGGGACTATCCCAATTTGAACAGTCTCAAAAATAAAAGTCAGTGTACGTATCAAATTTAAGCGCCAAAATACAGAGGAATGGTGTATTTACCATGTCTTAAAATTTTAGCTCAAAATATTAAGTTGTTTGGACATGAACGTCAAAACCTCTTATCCGGACACGTAATCCTTTTAAGATTTCGGGTCAATTTTTGTCGTTGGGTGACCTGATAATCGATTGCCATTCATTTAGAGTTCTATACAGTGCTTGACCCAAGTGCTGTATTTGATAACGAAAGATAAATTTCACCTACACGTTATTTTTATGAAGTAAAAGTCTGGTTTTATCCAAACACCATATTATACAGCTTGGGACACTGGTGGCCATTTCTAGATGAAGACTGACGGATTTAAGTTGTTTGAAAACGTATTGTGTATATTGAATTAGTTGCTTGGCCCTAAGTTTTAGGGCCTTTAACACAAAATAAGGCAGTTTTGTTCTACTAAAATATAATCGAGATTGGCCCTTTAAACTCCATTTCATGTTATTTTCCATCTACTACATGTATGTATTTAAAGAAAGCTTCTAGTCCGCTTTATTTTTTGAATTTTTATTTTATCTTGCAGGAAGCTGAACAGCTGTATAATGTGATGGTCAAGAGATTTCACACAGATAAACAAATATGGATGAATTTTGTTCAGTTTTGTTTCCGTAATAATCGGTTAGATACGGGAAGAAAGTTACTACAACGTAGCTTTAAATGTCTGGAAAAAAAGGAACGTAAGTTGATCAAACTGTATAGTACGTTTTTGTTATATTACCATAATTCTCAAGTAAGGTTTGTGCACATTGTTTATGTTACGAGGGAACTAAGTGGGTACGACGCTGGCTCGTTACCCTGGTGTTCGATCCCTGCATTGGACAAAAAAGTTCATCAGGATTTTCCAACATGGTTTCCCCATGTCGGTGGTGCAGGATGGCCTGACAAGTACAACTGTCTAGTCATTCGGATAGTACGAAAAACAAGATTCGGGTGTACAATGCACGTAAAAGATCCCTTGGCAGTTGGAATTCGATATAAGAGTAGGCCATAGTACCACTGTCCTGGCAAAATTTCCCACATAGCCCAGTCGGAGCAGAACAGTAGGACGTTAAACCCCATTTCATTTCTTTTTGTGGACAGTACGTGCATGACCTCAATTAATTGGTCAAGACTTAACGAAAAATGTTGTTGGACACCACTGCATCAAATTTAGTTATTTATTTATTTATATAGATGTTATAATGTGTACTTGTATTTGTGGTTATTTATTTATAATGTGGTTAGTTATTTATTTATTTATATAGATGTTATAATGTGTACTTATATTTGTTGTTATTTATTTATAATGTGGTTATTTATTTATTTATATAGATGTTATAATGTGTACTTATATTTGTTGTTATTTATTTATAATGTGGTTAGTTATTTATTTATTTATATAGATGTTATAATGTGTACTTATATTTGTTGTTATTTATTTATAATGTGGTTAGTTATTTATTTATTTATATAGATGTAGAGATGATATCTAAGGTAGCTCAGATGGAGGTTAAATTTGGTGATGGTGAGAGAGGTAGAACTATGTACGAGAATCTTGTTGCTAATTATCCTAAACGATTAGATTTATGGTCTGTGTATATAGATATGGTGAGGATATTGGGAGATTTTGATGGAGTCAGGTACGTAACATCATCTTCACCAAAACCCAACTGTCATATACTCCTTTACTAAACCAGCTTATTCATATTATTAAGGAATAGTGGTCTGAAACCTTCTTAAGTTCTTTGTGTTAATTGAGTTACTTCCCTTGATTAATAAAAGGCTTTGATCCTAGATGAAATTATGGGATGGAGTGACCTGTAAAATGGCTGTTTTTAATTAGTCCATCTGATTATCATAAACAATCCAGGCCATCTTGTGGCCTATACACCCCAATACCCAACATATACCCGTTCTTACAACACGATATAATACCAATACACTAAATATAACACTGTAATACGGGTATTATTTAAAGATACATTATGGGAAATTCAATAACGAGTTGGCAGTTCTCATTATAATAGTTAAAAACTAGATAAAAGGCAATTTGCTGAAAATTTCATACAAATTGATCCACTATGAACCGAGAACTAAGCGAATGAAATTTCCGCCTAGCCTCGATCATCATTACTAAAGTCAGTACGATAAACAGCATAGTCTCAATTATCCATTTAATCGTTAAATCGTGAAGGAAAGTTATGCAGTAAATCGGCTCACAATCCACTAAAGATCGCAGGCTAGCGATGCCATCTAGAGTTGATTATGGTCTGGATAAGTTAATTAATGTCTAATTAATAATTTAGAAAACATTTCAGGCCTAAAGAAAGACCTGCAATAGACCGATTTAGCTCTTGCATAATGTATCTTTAATCTTGTGTATCTAGCACTAATTTCTTTCACATTCATTCAATATCAGATCTTTGTTTAAAAATCGTTTAAAATCCTCAAAAATCATCTAATTTGTACTTGTGTCCAGTTTAAAGCTGACTGATTAATTCTGATAATGAGTGTCTTAATTTACAAGTATTTAATTTTATGTATCAGTGTTTAAAAATTAATCATTATACATCAATAATCAATTGGGTTGTTTATTTTTTAACAATGATCAAGAAATTAAATGGTTGTAAATTGTACACTCATTATCAAAATTGAATAGTCAGTTTTAAACTGGACACAAGTACAAATTAAGTGATTTTTGGTGATTTTAAACAATTTTTACGAATTTTTAAACAAAGATTTGATATTGAATGAATGTGAAAGAAATTAGTGCTAAATACACAAGATTAAATGATACACTGTTCTCATAACATAAACGGGTTGGATGGCCGAATAGTTAGCATGTGCGCATTGTATCATAAGGTCTGTCATTGAGTCAACTGGCATGGTTTCGATTCCCCGGTTGTATGTGGCAAGGAGTAGGGTCGGTCGCCTGTCACACCTCATGGGTTTTCTCTGGGTTTGTGTCGAGTGGACGTTAAACTCTATCACTCTCTCTCAAATGACCATAGCTTAGTAACTGATTGGTCAAATTGCTAAAAAGGCAATTCAACAGGAATCCTCAATCTGTATTAATTGTGACATACAGGTATTTTATTGGTGATGACGATATTAAATATTTTAGCTTTATAAAGTTGTAAAGATGGCTTGGAACCCAGGTAGCCACAAATCTGACATTACATCTAAACTCTTTCTTCTTTTTTTTCTCCAGAAAATTGTTTGAAAGAGCTTTATCACTTAAGATGAATGCTAAGAGAATGAAGTTTATTTTTAAGAAATACTTGGATTTTGAAAACCAATATGGCAGCCCAGATAAAGTGGAAGAGATTAAAGAAAAAGCATTAAAATATGTTGAATCTAAAGGATTTTATGATGAATTATAACTTCTAAACTCTTTTTACAGCAAAAATAAAAATTTGAATAAAATTTGAAAAATAGTTTTGTTGTTATCTAGAATATATTATCTATATTGGGAGCCACAGTGACTGAGTGTGTAAGATGCTGGTCGCAAAAGTTTAATCAGGATTTTCCAGGAAAGTTGTATGGCTGAATGGTTAACGTGTGTGTGTTGTATCATAAAGTCTGTCATTGAGTCAACTGGTGTGGTTTCGATTCCCTGATTGTACTCAACAAGGAGTAGGGTCGCCTGTTCAACCTCGTGGGTTTTCTCTGCACTCCGGTTTCCTCCCACTGCTAAAGACTCCTACGCGCAAGTGAATTATTGAAATAAAATTAAACCATGTGTTAGTCCCGAAATGACCTGGTTTGTGTGGAATGGACATTAAACCCCATTTCTCTCTCTCTCTCTCTCTCTCTCTCTCTGGGGGGTTGGATAGCCGAATGGTTAGCATGTGCAGCATGTGCGTGCTGTATCATACGACTTGTCATGAGTCAACTGGCGTGGTTTCGAATCCCTGGTTGTACGTGACAAGGAGTAGGGTCGCCTGTCCAACCTCGTGGGTTTTCTCCAGGTCCTCCGGTTTCCACCCACTGCTAAAGACCCCTACGCGCAAGTGAATTATTGAAATAAAATTAAACCATATGTTAGTCCCGAAATGACCTAGTTTGTGTCGAGTGGATATTAAACGCCATTTCTCTCTCCCTCTCTCAGGATTTTCTGGCATTTTTTCCCCTTGTTAGTGGTGCAGGATGAAGAGCCAGGGAAGGACAGCTGTCTAGTCGTTTGGATGGGACAAAAAACTGAGGTGCCGTGTACCCATTAGCGTGCTTGTAAAAGACCCCAAGACAGTTGGAATTCAAAATAATAGTAGGCTTTTGAGATGCATTTGAAATTGATCAAACGTTTTAAAGATAAATGTATTCCATTTTTCAGTGGAAACCTTTTCTTTAAGAGTTGCATGTCTGGCCAAAAGGAGCCAAGTCATAGACGCAGTTTTTGAAATACAAATTAGAAATGAAATGAAATGAAATAGGGTTTAACGTCCTACTGTTCTGCTAATGAAGACAGGCATACGCCCAAAATTGTGCTATGGGTGAAATTTAGCCCGGGCAGCGACACTATGGTGTACTCTTATATCGAATATCATCTGCCAAAGGATCTTTTACGTGCACACTAATGTATACACAGGACCTCGGTTTTTCGTCCCATCCGAACCACTAGACAGCTGTCCTTGTCCCTGGATTGAAAATTTGTTAACATTTGGCATTCACAGTAAACAGCTCAGTGCCAACTATAATCTTTGCTAAACTCCTTTGATGGACGTCTTTTTAATCCAAGATTGTAGAATGTCATCATTTATAGTGTGACCAGATAATGATCTCTGTCATTATTTCTTTGATGTAAGAATGTTATTTCTAAATGATTCTAGATCAAAGTAGCCTAATTAATGTTCCTCACACAAACAAGTCAATGTGATTAAAAAACAGATCTTACAACTTTCTGTTTGTATACAATCTGATTAAAATACAAATCTAGATTTCGCTCCGTGGTCGTATATTGTCGTCGCCCCCGTCCGTCTGGCGTCCACAATAGCTTGTGGACGCTCTAGAGGCTAAAGGCCAAGAACATGTTGGGGAGTTGGGTGGCCGAATGGTTAGCACCATCATAAGGTCTTTCATTGAGTCAGCTGGCGTGGTTTCGATTCCCCGGTTGTACGTGACAAGGAGTAGGGTTGCCTGTCCAACCTCTGGGTCTTCCGGTTTCCTCCCACTGCTAGCGAATTATTGAAATAACATAGAACCATATATTAGTCTAAAAATGGCCTAGTTTGTGTCGAGTGGAAGTTAAACCCAATCTCTCTCTCTCTCTCGTCTGTAATAACAATATTAACAACCGATAAATCAATAGCTTTAGGATTATCTGGATTGTCAACGTGGATATTAATATCGCCTACGTTAAAAAATCAACTTAATGAGGTAGACATTCACTGAATAAAACAGTTAGGTTTCTAGAGAGTCTGTTTTCATGTGTCGCCCACGGCACAAGTCGACATAAAACCTGAATCAGGTGTAATACTATGATCTTTACGACCATATTTGATCTTTAATTAATTAATAGATTCACACAGTGTAGAGAAGTCTTGTCTCACGTACTCAAATTAAAATGAGTGATGTTTTGACACATAAGAGCCCAGATAAAATTTAAAATTCTTGTCAACACCTATAAATCAGTAATAATCAAAACAGTTCCTAATTATATCAGCAGTGAATATTCGCTAGGCCGCTACAATCACTGATAAGGATGTCATCAATGCAGCTTAATGAGTCTCAAATATTAACTTTTTTCCACCGACAAATTAAATTCTAAAACATTTTTTGATGTATTAGAAAAATAAATAAAGACGTTTGACGTATTTGTATTTAAAAATTATTTCCTATTTAGTGTAAATGGGCATTAAAATGACTAAAAGGCAGCATTCTGCCCGAAGCAGTAACGTCTTGTGTTAACAATGCACGCGCCATTCAGCCAATGATTGACGCCGCGTGCTGTGGCGGCTTTTCACTACGGACAAAGGAACAAATGGTCATGTCTTTGCACTAAAATTTGTATGAGGTTGACCACCAAAATTTTGAGATACACAAACTTGAAGAAGCATAATAAAAACATGTAACTAGTTGCCGTACATATCACCGTAGCCACCCTGGTAACCCCGTTATCCTTCCGCCTCCAAATCATGAATATTTACCAAAACCTGGCAGAAAATGTTAATTCAAACCCTCTTCATCCATTCTAGACCAAAAAATCAACAAAAAAATGGGCATGCAAAAGGGGAGAAAAGACACACAGAGAGAATTGCTATAAATAGACGAACTACAATTTGATGTTGGTCTGCCTCCATATAGGACCGTCACTTCCTGGAATATGGCCCCTGATTGTGCGAACAATCACATGTATGTTTATACCGAGCAATCTCGGTTTCTGTGCATATAGGACCGTCACTTCCTGAATTATGGCCCCTGATTGTACGAACAATCACATGTTAGCCTTTGTGGACCCTATAGATGCCACAGTGTTTATTTTATGGTAAAAAAAAGTTCACTTATAAATATCAAAGTTACACCATTCCGCCGGTCCTGCAATCTGCAATAACTTGGAGATACTGAACAGAATATTGATATTCCTTTTACAGAGATTCATCTTTCCTAGTATTATACTCAAAAGCGATTGTTGTTTATTACAGATTTAATGTCCAATACAATAAATATGATATTATGGACAGGTTGATTTAATTAAATTACTTACACTTGTTAAAAACACAAAATAAAAAAAAAGGTCCTTTGATTCCAAAGTTTCTTAAAGCACACTTATAAATTCGCTGTCGTGAGAAGAGAGGGCGGGTCATCTCCCTTTGTCATAATAAAGTTAAAACAGGAGGTCCAACTGACTGATGTTTGGCGTCATCATAATAGATTAAGAACACAGTGAACATATTTGTGTGTTGCCTCCCCTAAAAATCACCTACTTAAAGTAATATATCATTGTATAAGTTTTCTTGGTCACCCGACCTATTTTCGACAGTTGTCTATTTATCTCACAAAAGGTTGATCATATTCTGTACATTACATAAATTTATCATTTTCGTGACTATAGAGACCGACACATGTAATAATATTCCAGACAGCCATATATCTTTTCCTTCATATATTACAGCTATCATAATACGGCTATATATATTGGTTAAAGAGCGCGGTTGGATGGTCGAATGGTAAGCACGTGTGCGCTGTATATCATACGGTCTACCATTGAGTCAACTGGCGTGGTTTCGAGACCCCAGTTGTACGTGACAAGGAATAGGGTCGCCTGTCCAACCTCGTGGGTTTTCTCCGGGTCCCTCGGTTTCCTCCCACTGCTAAAGACCCCTACGCGCACGCGAATTATTGAAATAAAATTGAACCATATGTCAGTCCCGAAATGACCTAGTTTGTGTCGAGTGGACGTTAAGCCCCATTTCTCTCTCTCTTTCTCCCATAATGTAAATTAACAATACCACAATCTGCGCGTTGGTCTCAAGATTAGTTTTAAATTATCGCGACCCTTGTCATAAGTTCAGCCGCTTTCCTTCCCAAGTTTGTTTATATGTTATAAATCTAGTTATCATGATAATTATACACCGGGGAATGTTTCAATTTACCGTCTCCTTGCTGTCTTCATTCATGGATGGTGTCGTGATTCAAACTCGACTGTATTGGCTAATTATTTTATCCATTAACAAGCTTCTAATACATAACCCGAAAGGAAAAAGGTGGTCAACACATTGCTAGTTGTTCAAGTTTAACTCCCACTCGACACAATCTAGGTTATTTCGGGACTAACATGGTTCAGTTTGGTTTCAATAATTGGGGGTTTTAGGGAAAACCGGAGATTCCGGAGAAAACACACGCGATTGGACAGGCAACCCTACGCCTTGCTAGTTGTTCAAGTTTAATATCCACTCGACACAATCTAGGTTATTTCGGGACTAACATGGTTCAGTTTGATTTCAATAATTAGGGTTTCTTGGGAAAACCGGAGAAAATAGACACGATTGGACAGGCAACCCTACGCCTTGTCACGTATAAGCGTGGAATCAAAACCACGCCACTTGACTAAATGACATAATTTATTATCTAAACGCGTTTAACCATTCGACCCGGCAATACTATATACCGGAAAACACCGAAAAACACCGGAAAACACCATTTTATACACCATATTACCGGAAAACACCGGAAAAACACTAAATACCGGAAAACACACTAAATACCGGAAAATACCCTAAATAGGTAACCCGGAGACTGGCACCCTAAATAGGTAACCGGAAGCCTGGTCCTCTGTGTGCCTGGGTTAGGCTTAGGGTTAGTTTCCGGTTTATAATATAGCCCTTTTCCGGGTTACCTATTTAGGGTGGTTTCCGGTATTTAGTGTGTTTTCCGATATTTAGTGTTTTTCCGGTGTTTTCCGGTATTCAGTATAAC